CCACTGCACTCCAACCTCAGCAACAAAACAAGACTTCATCTCTAAAACAATAAATAAATAAAATTAAAAAAAAAAAAAACTGTTGGGGCATTAGCCACAGAAGCAGCTGCCCAAAGACCAGGATCTCTGTTTTTTGTTGTTTTTGTTTTTCCAGTTTCATTGGTTTTTATTTAAACCCCAATAAAACAAGAACATTCAGTGTCTATTTACTTTCTGCACTATGCAGGCTGACACTGCCATTGGTGCCTCTGATGACCACCTGGGCTGCTCTTTCCAAGACGGTTTTGCAGGTGACATCATGAGTGATCTCAGCACAGTTAAGATTTGTTGCACAGCAGCAGTACTTCCAGCTCCTTAATGTTGTGGACCAGGAACTTCCGGAAGCCACTGGGCAATATGTGCGTTGTCTTTTTGTTGCTCCCACAATCAATGCTGGGCATTGATCGGGCCCTTCAACCTTCTACGAACCCTGCTGTCAACGCCTCTGAGTTTCCACCAGTTACACTTTATGTTGACATGTCAGTCTGACTGGTGCCCAGTGAACTTTTTGGGCCTCTTTTTGATGACCTTGGGTTTCAGGAGGGGTCTGAGGGTGGCCATGATGGAGGAGATGGCTGCCACCTCCATAGGCAGCACGAAGGAAGAGAGCTCAGGTCTTTCGGGAATGGTAAAAGAGGTCCCATAAAAAGTGAAGAAGCAATGATGCCCAACCAAATTCAATAAATTTTTACTACATGGCTGCCCTGTGAAACATGGTGTATCACTGTCAGGATCTATAATTAGTGGAATTAATTTGGAGAACAAAGATCACTCTAAATCATGTCTTAGAGAAACAGTTGAAATAATCAGAGATGGTTATACTGGAAATAAGAAGATTCTAGGAAAACATGAGAGCCTTCATGCCTAAATATTTAGCCCCCACAACCTTTTTTTTTTTTTTTTTTTTTTGGCAGAGATTAGACTTATTTTGTACAGGACAACACAGAATTAGTATCAATGAGTATCAGTCAAAATCAGAAATCATAGCAACCTAAGAAAAAACTTAGGGAATGGTAAGTCTAAAAATAGACTAAAAGCAGTCTAAAAATAGAATGAGCTGTTTTAGGAGGAGCAGAAGCCTCACTAGCAATATTGGTACCAGCGACATTATATACTGCAGTCTCTGGATACTCAATCTCTAATGAGTCTTAATCAGACACTGCTACAAATCAAATCACAAATCACATCACCCAAAGTCAAACAGTGCTAATATAATGATGTTTCTTTCTTTTCTCTGTGCACTTGTTTTTTAACATAGTAAAATTGTAGCACATATTACAATTTTTAACTTTTTATTAAAAATTATTTCTTTCGGCAATTTTGTTGATTATCAATATTTACCAAAGCTTTCACTTTTGTTTTGTTTTTTGCGTTTTGGGGAGTTTTTTTGAGACAGGGTCTCACTTTGTCTCCCAGGCTGGAGTGTAGTGGCATGATCTCAATTCACTGCAACCTCCGCTTCCCAGGTTCAAGTGATTCTCATGCCTCAGCCTCCCAAGTAGCTGGATTACAGGCACATGCCACCACACTCAATTTTTGTATTTTTAACAGAAACAGGGTTTTACCATGTTGACCAGGCTGGTCTCGAACTCCTGGTCTCGTGATCTACCCACCTTGGCCTTCTGAAATGCTGGGATTACAGGCGTGAGCCACCACACCCAGCCAGCTTTCACTTTTTGTTTAACATTTACAGTTTAGTGGCAAGAGCAGTTTTCAAGACATACTACCTGGTTGAATCTCACTTACTAGCTATTCAGTCTTGGGAAAGTTCCTCATTCTCTGTGCCTCAGTCACCTCATTTGTAAAGTGGGGACTGTACCTCAGGGAGTTGTTGTATTAAAGGAGATTCTATAGCGAAAAAGTTTGTGTCCCCCATAAAATCCACATGTTGAAACCCTAGCTTGTGGGTTCTAGGAGGTGTGGCATTTTGGAGAGATTACGTCATGAGAGGTCAACCCTCATGGGATTAGTGCTCTTAATAAAAATAAGGCCAAGAAAGCTCATTTGCCCCAACCACCACATCAGAACACAATGAGAAGGCACCTACCAGCACCTTGATCTTGGACTTTCCAGCCTCCAAAACTGTGAGAAATAAATGTGTTATTTAAGCCACTCAGACTACTGGATTTTGTTACAGTGGCCCAAAAACACTAAGACAGAAGCTAAACCTAAGAATATGTCTTCTGCCAGAGTGGTGGCTCACATGTGTAGACCCAGCACTCTGGGAGGCCAGGACAGGAGGATCAGTAGAGGCCAGCAGTTTAAGACCAACCTGGGCAACACTGCAAGACCCTGTCCCTACAATAAATTTTTTAAAAAGAAAGAATACATCCTCTAACGTACCAATGGTTGTTTGGGCCTCTCCTATAGCCTCTATCATCTTTTGCCGACAATACTTATTGAACTTTTACTAGGTAATTTAAATTCCCCAACAAATGAGGGCCTATTAATCTACAAGGCATCTTGATATGTGCTTGCTGTTCATTCAAATACGAAAGGAAACATTTACTCCTGCCCTCAAGCAACTAAGTGATCTTTGGGGATAAGGGATGCACAGTCCTAGGCCGGGCGTGGTGGCTCACGCCTGTAATCTCAGCACTTTGGGAGGCGGAGGCAGGCAGATCACCTGAGGTCAGGAGTTCAAGACCAGCCTGGCCAACATGGTGAAACCCTTTTAAAAAAAAAAAAAAAAAAAAAGATATGTACAGTCCTTTAACCTTACAGTAAGTGTGTTGTGGATATTAAGAGCATAAGCACTGATGTCAGACAGACCCAGTTCCACTCGTTTTGTCTTTTTTTGGGAGACCTTGGGGATTAATCTCTAGGCCTCAGTTTCCTCAGCTATGTAATCATAGCATCTATTAAAAAGTACTCTAAGACTTGAAAAAGGTAATGTACATAAAGCACTTAGCATGTCTGGCACATAACAAATTTTAAAACAAAATATCAAGTAAGCATTATTCAACCCCTAATAGAGAAGCCAGACCACTTAGCCACAGCAGCCTTCCCACTCACTACCACCATGTACACACAGGGATAGGACTGGCTAGGGAGTGTTTCCCTTCCATTGCCTAAGACACTGCACATCTCTTACAGAATTTACACCAGGCCATCACAGACCAGAGCCCAGTGCATTCAAGAGACTCTTACAACCAAATCAAACACATCTCACACCCTTATTGAACTAACTCACCACTGTATATGTAAGCTTCTCTCATCGTCTCCCCCCAATTTTTTTTTTTTTTTTGAGACATAGTTTCGCTCTCGTTGCCCAGGCTGGAGTGCGATGGTGCGATCTCGGCTCACCACCACCTCTGCCTCCCAGGTTCAAGCAATTTTCCTGCTTCAGCCTCCTTAGTTGCTGGGATTACAGACATGAGCCACCATGCCTGGCCTTCCCAAACTTTTAGTTGCTTAGCTGACACAGCATCTCAACCATCCTATCTGCAATACCAGCTCATCCCATCACCAATAAATCTTTTCTACACCTTCAACCTCATCTCTCAGTACTCTTCTCACCTCCTTACCCATACTGAAACCTGGCTCTTTCCTAGACACTTCCCCAACACCAACTATAATTTATCATCACATGCTCCTGGGGTTCAGGGTTAGGAGCACATATTATGAAGCTTATGAAACTTAAGCTCCAGAATCCCTAACTTCTGCAAGCTTCTTCTAAGGGAATTATATAAGGAATGTGTTCAATCTTTTATTTTCAAAAAGTTGGCAGCCAGGTGCAGTGGCTCATGCCTGTAATCTTAGCACTTTGGGAGGCTGAGGCAGGTGGATCACCTGAGGTCAGGAGTTCCAAGAGCAGCATGGCCAACATGGTAAAACCCCACCACTACTAAAAATACAAAAACTTAGCCAGGGATGGTGGCAGACGTCTGTAATCCCAGCTACGTGGCAGGCTGACGCAGGAGAATCACTTGTACCAGGGAGGCAGAGGTTGCAGTGAGCCAAGATTGTGGCACTGAACTCCAGCCTGGGCACCAGAGCAAGACTCAGTCTCAAAAAAAAAAAAAAAAAAATTAAATTTAGACCAAGCCGGACAGCACAGTAATACCCCACCTCCGCAGAAGTTTCCAAATGGATGCTCATCTCACAATATCTAACTATAACCTACAAGGGTAATACGGACCCTGGCCAACTTTCTTACTCTTCAGCCACAACTTTGCTATTTCTCTAATTCCATCCAGGAATTCTCTTCCCCCACAGAAACTATACTGTAACCTCTGCCTATTAAGTTCATAACCCAAATGTAAGCATGGCTTTCTTCTCTGACCTCAGCATCTAGCACACATTATCTCTTTTACCCTGCTTTTCTTCAAATAATGCACATTATCACATATTGCTGCGCTACCAGCATATACATTCAATTGAGAACTTTTCATTCACTACAAAATTCAGTGTCTGGCATACAGGAACTCAAGCATTTATACAACTGTTGTCCACAAATGGTAGAACAGTACTTCTCAAACTTGGGTCACATAGGGGCTCTTGCTCATAGACCAATTCAGGAGGCACAGGGTATACTCCAACAGGGCATTTTTAATAGGCTTCCAGATGGTAAGTCCCAAGAACTTTCACCTTTCATTTATTCCATCTCATGTTAAGTCACCTGCACTACCTAAGGTTAAAGCAACCACGTTACACCTAGACTTCACCTTTTACTGGGTCCCTCAGTAAATTGTCTTTCAGTACCATCATTTCTTTTACAACCTGCACAACCCCTCCAAATGCTCCAAACTGACTGCTTTTCCCTACAAATATGCACATGCACAACACTGGCAGACTTGAGACCCTTAAGTGTGTGCATAGACACATATACAAAGTTCTTTAAAATTTTCTTTATTCTATAGAGACAAGGTCTCATTATGTTGCCCAAGTTGGTCTGGGCTCAAGCAATCCTCCCACTCTATGCTCTGAAGTGCTGGGATTACAGGCATGAAACCGTCATGTTTTGCAAAGTATAAAAATAAAAGTGGCCATTTACCGGTGTACTGGCACGAATAGTTTTATGTAACTCAGGGAAAATAAGCCATTGAGACGAGTCTATTGAGAAGGTAATAAAATATTAATTTTTAAAATATTTCTATAACCAATTAACTCTTCCAGTCACATTAAAACACTCATAAACCAAAGGGTTTTTTTAAATGTTTACTTTATGTACAAAGAACTATCATGGTTTTTCATGTCTTTTTCGTGTCTTGGATAATCCTTTGAAGATCATTTAGTCCAACTGAAAAAAAAAAGCAGTAAGAAATTATTTCAAAATGCTTTAAATCTCTACTTGATTTTTACAAAAACTGGCTCATCATACAATGTTTAAATGGACATTTGACCCACCCAAACTAACTACACCAGGATCTACATAGTATAAATATTTACTGAATGCATACTCCACAAACATCAACTATGTTTTAGAATGATTTTTAGTAATGCTATTCCCACTTCTTCCCTCAAAATGTTTCCCAAAACAAAACACTACTAAATAAATCTTTATGGCTGTTCAGCAGGCAACTGTAATTACACAGTTCATTTTTGTTTTTTAAGACAGTCTTGCTGTCTCCCAGACTGGAGTGCAGTAGAGCCACCTACACTCACTGCAGCCTCGGCCTCCTGGGTTCAACTGATTCTCCCACTTCAGCCTCCTGAGTAGCTGGGACCAGAGGCCCAGGCAATCAAACAAAGGTAATTTTTGTAGACACAGGTTTTCACCATGTTGGCCAGGCTTGTGGCTTAAATCCTGGACTCAAGTGATCCACCCACCTCATCGGCCTCCCAAAGTGCTGGGATTTCATATATAAGGCACTGCGCCTGGCCTAGAGTTTATCTAGGACACAGAGCTAGGGCGTGGGTGTGATATACTGCCTCCCAAATGAATAATGTGGTGTGATATACTGCCTCCCAAATGAATAATGTGAACCTCCTCATTTTAACAGGAAACATACACTGAGAAAGTATTTGCTCAAGGCTACCAAGTCTGAATTTACAGGTACTTTCTGTCTCTGTTGCATTGCAGAATTCATATTAACAATTTGCAACAGACAGGGCGTGGTGGCTCATGTCTGTAATCCCAGCACTTTGAGAGGCCAAGGCAGGCGGATCACCTGAGGTCAGGAGTACAAGACCAGCCTGGCCGAAATGGTGAAACCCATCTCCACAAAAAATAAAAGGTCGCGTGTGGTGGCAGATGCCTGTAATCCCAGCTATTCGGGAGGCTGAGGCAGGAGAATTGCTTGAATTGGGGACGGGGAGATTGTAGGGAGCTGAGACCACACCACTGCACTCCAGCCTGGGCAACACAGTGAGATCCCGTTTCAAAAAAAAATTACATCATTACAGAACACCACCACACCAAGTACCTGCTTGTTAAAAATATCTATTTTTAACAAGCAGGTACTATTCAATACAAAATAATTAAGAATTAGAAAGCTGGTGAGTTTATCTCAAGAGCCAATTATAAATTCGTTTTTCACCTAAAAAAAAACAAACTACTATTTACATGATTTTTAGAACCTAAAAGTCTCATATAAACATTCACATGATCAAGTGATAGAACCACTAAATGGCAGATCCTCGTTTGCTGAATCCTAACAATGTCTTTCTGGATCCAAACCTCAAGTTCATTCCAATATATAACGTTATCAAACATTTTTCAGTCAGTGGTTAATACATACATTTGGTTAGAAAATATCTAGGTATTGCTGCGCGTGGTGGCTCGCGCCTATAATCCCAGCTACTCCAGACGCTGTGGCAGAATTGCTTGAACCCACTGTGGATTCAAGGGGTTGCAGCGAGCCATAACTTGAACACCACTGCACTCCAGCCTGGGTCTCACTCTGTTTTACAGCTACTTTTAAGACCGGTAAGTAAAACAATTTTAATGGCTTCTATAAAGTGAGTAATTTCACCCAACACAATACATGGCACCTAAAACCAGCTAAGCTATCTAAGTAAAAAGGGGGTAGGAAAGACTAAGTCCTTCACCTTCCCATTCTATTAATGTGACTGCCCAAACCGTCAACACTGTCACCAGTTACCAACTATAAAAGAGGAAAAGCTCTGGGTCGAATGCTCAGAATTACCACCGGGGGGAATATCTGTCGGTTGTCTTCCGCAGAAAAAATAAAGAACAACCACGACCTTCTCCCTCAACGGAAACAACATGCAATACGCTCGCGGACGCCTACCTTAATGAAACCTATATCCTTCGCGTACTGACGGAAACACTGGCGGCACATATTGAGACCATATTTCCGGATCAAACCATGCCGGTTTGAACATACTCGACTGTAAAAAAAAAAAAAAGAGAGAGACAGTAGTTTTGGAGGTCACAGAAATTACAAGACTCTGCACTCAGACGGCCACTAGCCGCTTCCCGAGACTTCCCGGCCCCAGCACAGGCCTGTAATGGCGGCACCAGCGGCTCCCAGTCGGCCTGCTCCCTAGTGCCGCCCGTGACCTCCTCCACGTGAGATTTTAAGCAGCTCAGCGATCTAGGGCAACGTTTCCCTAAAATCACAGACTATTTCTCACCAAGAGCGAGAGCCCTGGCCGAATTTTCGCGGGTGGCTCCAGTACAGCTGCTGGTGACCCATCTTGCTCTCAGAAAGGCAACGAGGTAAAAGGAAGGAGCTACTCTACGCATGCGCCCTTCAATTTTTTTGAGACAGTTTACCCAGAATGCAGCGCTCAAAGGAAACGCGTGCGCAGTGTGGTCAGGTTGTTTCGTGAGGTGAAATGAAATCTTGGAGGCGTTGTGGGCCCGCCCAGTTGATGACGTCACTACAACACAGCTTCTAGTGCTGTTTTGCGCCGCTGCTAAACCGCCGGGCGCGGTGGCGCGTGTCTGTAGTCCCAGCTATTTGGGAGGCTGAGGCTGGAGGATCTCTTGAGTCCAGGAGTTCTGGGCTGCAGTGCGCTATGCCGATCGGGTGTCCGCACTAAGTTCGGCATCAATATGGTGACCTCCCGGGAGCGGGGGACCACCAGGTTGCCTAAGGAGGGGTGAACCGGCCCAGGTCGGAAACGGAGCAGGTCAAAACTCCCGTGCTGATCAGTAGTGGGATCGCGCCTGTGAATAGCCACTGCACTCCAGCCTGGGCAACATAGCGAGACCCTGTCTCTTTTGAATAAATACGTTAATTTTGAATGTTCCCAGTCTCTTTTATTGATTAACTGTTTTACTTTCTTTTAATTAAAACGTTACACTTGGGAAAATATTTTTTTCATCGACTCACCAGTGACACCTACTGGAATAAATGTACAAAACAACTTAAAATCAGTTGTAATAATCACGAGTCAACGGTAGGGTTTGTATTTATTTTGTTAAATAGAGTACGTTTTCAATTTTTTTTTTTTTTTGACACCCTCTTCCAAGAAATAACCTACACCATTCCAGAAAAAAAAAAAAAAAGATATTCTTTGGCATTTAGTGTATTTAATTCTTAAATGTAATTGGCTGAATTTAAACTAATAAACAAGTAATGTGCAGTGTGTGTTGCTTTGACCAGATAATTTAGTGACAACTAATGAAAAGCAAATGCAAAAAAAAAAGTCAATAAACGAATTTCTGCTGAAAGATGCCTAAATTCATCTTTTGTAATGCCTCCAGATATAACTGCTCTGAAAACAAAGCTTTAACTAGATTTATAAAATGTAGCACATGGTGCAAAAATTCAAGAAAACTTTACCTATAAACTCTTAATTGAAATACAACACTTCTTTAAAGTATATTATGTCAGGGTTCCCCTGGGGTCCCCCAACCCAATCATTAAGTTAGGCATTGCATTATATAATTAAGGAAGGAGGGGAGTCAGAGATTTATAAACTAGATAGCAGGGTTTCTGTGTCTCAGCTTTGGTGCACCCCTCTCTCTGTCTCTGTACAGGGGAGCTGCTTCTTTCTTTCTTCCCCCTTCTTTCTTGCCTATTAAACTCCTTGCTCCTTAAAACTAAAAAATAAATACAAATAATAAATAAATAAACTGGATGTAACTTGTTTCTTGCCCTCAAAATTTTCTAATCTAACTACTGTGAAAAGCAGGATTATCTCCAAGACCTCTTCCTTCAACGTTTGTACACCAACGTGTATACAATTAAGGAAAATATTCTGTGTTCAATGATGGGTGTGCTCATGAAGTATGAGAGGATCAAAGAAGAGGAGAAATTAATTCCCACTTGAGGTACATATGAGAGACCTTTGAGGCAGCACTTGATAGAGCAGAATGCCTGGTGAAAGGAAGAGCTTGAGCCAAGAGTTTGGGTAAGGTGAACAACTTTGTGTAACTAGAGTAGAAGATGCACAAAAGGCCTAGTGATAGGAATGAAAAGGTATTTTATTTTAAAGCCTCGTTGGGCAAGACCCAATGTCAAGCTTCTACAACTTTCCTATAATTTATATCAGTCACTAATGTGTGGTTTACAAAAGCCATCTGCCTCTCAAAAGCTAATCTAACATTTGTCCACAATTTCTCAGGCCTCTCCTGGTGGGTCTCCGTAATATTTAAAAGATTACAGTGGTTCTGAGATCAATTACATAAATATTTTTAGTACCCTGATATATAATCCTTTGGGCCTAAAAAGTGTATTCATTTAGGAGAGAGGAAAAAAAAAGACAAATGAGAAGCAATTAGTTGCACTTTGTTCAATCTTTTTCTCGGCTCACTGCAAACTCCATCTCCCGGGTTCAAGTAATTCTCCTGCCTCAGCCTTCCAAGCAGCTGGGATTACAGAGATGCGCCACCACGCCAGGCTAATTTTGTATTTTTAGTAGACACACGGTTTCTCCCTGTTGGTCAGGCTGGTCTCCATCTCCTGACATCAGGTGATCCACCTACCTGGGCCTCCCAAAGTACGGAGATTACAGGTGTGAGCCACAGCACCTGGCCCAACAATCTTAAACTATCTGAATACTTAAGTAATGCTTAATGTCTATTCTAGTCTATAGATTATTCTTCTTGATAGAGATATCACAAAAGTACATACTTCTTTCAGTTTTAAGATAATGTGACACCATCTATCCCAAACAATGGAATTATCCATTTCTTTTTCAATAAACTGAGAACACGGCTTTAAAAGTTCATTTTAACTCACTGTTTATCAAGAGATTTTATGGGTTTCTTTTTTTTTTTTTTTTTTTTTTTTTTTTTTTGTTTGAGACAGAGTTTTGCTCTTGTTACCCAGGTTGGAGTGCAATGGTGCGATCTCGGCTCACCGCAACCTCCGCCTCCTGGGTTCAGGCAATTCTCCTGCCTCAGCCTCCTGAGTAGCTGGGATTACAGGCACGCACCACCATGCCCAGCTAATTTTTTGTATTTTTAGTAGAGACCTGGTCACCATGTTGACCAGGATGGTCTCGATCTCTTGACCTTGTGATCCACCCGCCTTGGCCTCCCAAAGTGCTGGGATTACAGGATTACAGGCTTGAGCCACCGCGCCCGGCCCTTTTTTTTTTTTTTTTTTTTTTTTTTTTTTCTGAGATGGAGTCTTGCTCTGTTGCTCAGGCTGGAGTGCAGTGGCACCATGTTGACTCACTGTGACCTCCACCTCCTGAGTTCGAAGGATTCTCCTGCCTCAGCCTCCCAAATTGCTGAGATTGCAGGCACATGCCACCATACCTGGAAAACTTTTTATATATTTGGTAGAGATGGGGTTTCACCATGTTGGCTAGGCTGGTCTCAAACTCCTGACCCCAAGTGATCTGCCCACATCAGCCTCCCGAACTGCTGGGATTACAGCCATAAGCCACCACACCTGGCCTAAGAGATTTTATCTTAATCCTGTAGTCTTCTTACAGTTTCTTAATTCTCTTTTGTATGTGGTTTTGAAATTTTCCTTCTTTTGGAACACATTTTCCCCTAATAGGATATTTCTTGGGTTTAGATTCTTTCTTTTTTAAAAAATGTACAATGAAGTACAAAGAAAAAGAAAAAAAAACTGCCATATTTCCTTGCCCAGATAACGCTACTAATATTTTCCTTTTGAAAAAATAAAAGTAATTTACATATAAGATTGAAGCATTCCAATACTAAAGAGTATAGATCTTATTTTTTAAGTACATTGGAATAATATGCATGTTAAACCACTATTATTGAAGATGTCTCCAATTTTCTTTCTCAGATTATTCTTACAATCATCCGTGATCGTCCATGCAGAATTTAATCATTTTAAAACCTGCATCTGCTGGGTGCAGTGGCTCACTCCTGTAATCCCAGCACTTTGGGAGGCCGAGGCAGGTGGATCACAAGGTCAGGAGATTGAGACCATCCTGGCTAACACCATGAAACTCCGTCTCTACCAAAAATACAAAAAATTAGTCAGGCATGGTGGCACTTGCCTGTAGTCCCAGCTACTCGGGAGGCTGAGGCAAGAGGATCACTTGAACCCAGGAGGTCGAGGTTGCAGTTGCACCACTGCACTCCAGCCTGGGCGACAGAGCAACACTCTGTCTCAAAAAAAAAAAAAATAAAAGAAAAAAAACCTGCATCTTACATGTATACACTGCTGATGGGAATGTAAATTAGTTCAGCACTGTGGAAAGCAGTTTGGGGATTTCTTACATAACTTAAAACAGATTGCCACTTGACCTAGCAATCCCATTAGTGGATATATACCCAAAAGAATATAAATCATTCTACATTAAAGATACACGAATGTGTATGTTCACAGCAGCACTTCACAGTAGCAAAGACATTGAATCAACCTAAATAGCAATTTTTTAGGCAACAGTAAACTAGATAAAGAAAATGTGGCACATATACACTACGGAATGCTACACAGCCATAGAAAAGAACAAGATCATGTCCTGTGCAACAACATGGATGGAGCTGGAGGCTATTATCCTAAGCAAACTAACATGAGAACAGAAAATCAAACACCATGTTCTCACTTATAAGTGAGAGCTAGACACTGAATACACATGGACACAAAGAAAGTAACAGACAGCAGGGTCCACTTGAACATAGAAGGTAGGAGGAGTTAAAGTACCTATTGGGTACTTAAGCTTATTACCTGGGTGATGAAATAATACACGTAACAAACCCCTGTGACACGCAATTTATCTGTAGAACCAACCTGTACATATACCCTTGAAACTAAAAGTTAAAAAAACAAAAACAAAAAACTTTTATCTCTCTTGAGTTACCTTCAATTTCAGAACCTTTAGAAATAGAATTATACTTTTCCTCTAAACTTTACAAAATCTATTTCACCATAGTCAGAGTCTAAGATACATGTTTTACATGTTTGGTTATTACAATATGCACACTTCAGTACAGTTGGCTCGAATTAGGTTTTTTGTTTGTTTGTTTGTTTTGAGACACAGTCTCACTCTGTAACCCAGGCTGGAGTGCAGTGGCGCCATCTTGGCTCACTGCAACCCCCACCTCCAGGGCTTAAGCGATTCTCCTGCCTCAGTCTCCCGGGTAGCTGTGATTACAGGCATGAGCCACCACTCCCAGCTAATTTTTATATTTTTAGTAGAGATGGGGTTTTGCCATGTTGGCCAGGCTGGTCTCAAACTCCTGGCCTCAAGTAATCTTCCTGCCTCGGCCTTCCAAAGTGCTGGTGGCGTCATCCGCCCCACTCAACCAGAATTAGACCTTTATTGATAATTATTAACCCTTCAAAAAAGCCCAATTGTTTAATAGTGAGTATGTGTTTGTCCATATCTATTTTAGCAAATATTAATTTTTAATTAACTGTACATAATATGTTTGTTTTTTTTTTTTTTTTGAGACGGAGTTTCGCTCTTGTTACCCAGGCTGGAGTGCAATGGCGCGATCTCGGCTCACCGCAACCTCTGCCTCCTGGGTTCAGGCAATTCTCCTGCCTCAGCCTCCTGAGTAGCTGAGATTACAGGCACGCACCACCATGCCCAGCTAATTTTTTGTATTTTTAGTAGAGACGGGGTTTCACCATGTTGACCAGGATGGTCTCGATCTCTTGACCTCGTGATCCACCCGCCTCGGCCTCCCAAAGTGCTGGGATTACAGGCTTGAGCCACCGCGCCCGGCCCATAATATGTTTTAAATAAAACATACTTTGGAAAAGGAGACTCAGAAAAAGAAAAATACATATATACATGCATACATGCATATATTAAATATATTGTTAAAAGTAAGTCTTTCTCCAACCCTAGACCCCTATTTTCCCAGTCTCCCTGTCCAAACCAACAAGTTAGCAGTTTTTAGGGATTTGGTTTTGCTTTTTTTTTTTTTTTTTCTGTGACAGAGTCTCACTCTGTTGCTCAGGCTGGAGTGCAGTGGTGCGATCTGGGCTCACTGCAACCTCCACCTCCCAGATACAAGTGATTCTCCTGCCTCAGCCTCCCAAGCAGCTAGGATTACAGGAGCATATCACCACACCTGGCTAATTTTTGTAATTTTAGTTGAGGCTGGTCTCAAACTCCTGACCTCAGGTGATTCACCCACCTCAGCCTCCAAAGTGCTGGTATTACAGGTGTGAGCTACTGCACCCAGCTGAGGGATGTTTAAGAAAAATTCTGAAGAACTATACAGACACACACACACAGGTATACATATAGATATATATGTGCATATATACATATTGGTATTTATATTTTTATATATTTATCTCTTTTCATTTACACAACAAAATCATACCATACTCAATGTTTCTCACAAATAGATCATAAAGAATCTTAAAAGGGTATAAAAATTACAGAGGAATACACAGCACAACAGGGAATTAAGGTGAACTGAAACATTCTTGGATGATCTTTTTTTGCATATTTATATCTATCTATAGGTATATAGATAATAAAGTATGTTTATAAAGTAGGATTTTATAAAGTATGTCTATATATAAGATATAAGTAAAGTTAGGCTATGAAATTCTGGAAATACAGCTGCTAGGCCAAAGAATATGAGCTTTTATAGATATTAACAATGTTCCCACCTGGTATGGTGGCTCATGCCTGTAATCCCAAGACTTTGGGAGGCCAAGGCAGGCGGACCACTTTAGGTTAGAGCTTCGAGACCAGACTGATCAACATGGAGAAACGCTGTTCCTACCAGAAATACAAAAATTAGCCAGGTGTGCTGGCACATGCCTGTAATCCCAGCTACTCGGGAGGCTGAGGCAGGAGAACCGCTTGAACCTGGGAGGTGGAGGTTGTGGTGAGCCAAGATTGTGCCATTGCACTCCAGCCTGGGCAACAAGAGTGAAACTCCATCTCAAAAAAAAAAAAAAAAAAGTGTTCCCAGTAGAAACTGAACAATTCAGACTTAGACTCACACCCATGGAGTATACCTGTTTTCCCACAATCTCCCAACAGTATGAACCAATTATTTTTTTTCTATCTGTCCTTTTGCTAGCCTAAAAATAATGTCTTATTTCAATTTTATTTTTATTTTTATATTTTTTGAGACAGAGTTTTGCCCTTGTTGCCCAGGCTGGAGCACAATGGTGCGATCTTGGCTCTCTACAACATCCGCCTCCTGGACTCAAGCAATTCTTCTGCCTCAGCCTCCTGAGTAGCTGGGATTACAGGTGTCAGCCACCATGCCCAGCTAATTTTTGTATTTTTAGTAGAAATGGGGTTTCGCCATGTTGGCCAGGCTGGTTTTGAACTCCTGATCTCAAGTAATCCACCTATGTCAGCCTCCCAAAGTGCTGGGATTACAGGCATGAGCCACCGCACCTGGCCCAATCTGATTTTTTAAAGTAGCAAGATTCAATTTGATTTTCTGATGAGGCAGACCATGATTTCCTACGTCTATAAGCCAGACACATATCTTTATCTGGGAACTTTTTTGAGTCCACAGCCCAATTTCTTTAATGCATTGCTAATCTAGAGTTTATACATTTATAAATACTTATGTATAAAGACTACATCTTTGATCCTCATGTTAGAGGCAAAGCTCTTTTCTTTGTCACCATCCCAGATTCTTATTTTAAAAATGTTTATAGTATATTTTTCCATGCAAACAGGTTTTTAAATTTTTTTAGACTAGTCAGCGAAGCAGTGGGAGTGGAGAAGGAACAAATAAATCTGTAACTGGTTGTAATCAATCCACTGAACTCAGACCAGCACCATGCAAAAAGTTTTAGAGTCTATGTATTAAACGTATTGACTTGTTGCACTACTGCCTTTAGGCTTTGCATCAAAATTCTTCAAAGCTTACATGTGTTTTTCCTGTGATATTTTTAAAGTTTTTATTTCAAATCTTGAAATCACCTAAAATTTATGTCACTGTTCTCCAGGAATGAGGGAGAAATTCAGCTTTTTTTCCCTCCCAAAAGGCTACTCATCTCAACACAAGCAATATTAATTGCATGCAAGGCTGCTCTATTCTAGCACAATGCATGCTTTCACAAATATTTGCTAAATGAATAAATGGAAAGCAATACTTGTTTACTCTTTCTACAAATATTTATTGAGTACCTACTGCATATAAACGCTATGCTCTGCTTTTCATATAACAGTAGTAACTCAGAAACCAGGAAGCATATCATCTAGAGGTGAAGATAGGCATTAAATAGTAAACATACATCAATATTTTGAATAGGATAAAATTCCTCTTGTGTTGAACACCCAAATGTGCTGGATAAAATATGACATTTTGGCCAGGCATGGTGGCTCATGCCTGTTCCCAGTACTTTGGGAGGCCAAGGAGAGTGGATCACCTGAGGTCAGGAGTCCAAGACCAGCCTAACATGGTGAAACCCTGTCTCTACTAAAAATACAAAAATTAGCTGGGCATAATGGCAGATGCCAGTAATCCCAGCTACTCAGGAGGCTGAGGCAGGAGAATCGCTTGAACTGGGGAGGTGGAGGTTGCAGTGAGCCAAGATCGCACCATTGCACTCCAGCCTGGGTGACAGAGCAAAATTCCATCTCCAAAAAAAAAAAAGACATTTTAAAACGCAGAGGTGAGCACAAAAGAAAGAGATATACTGCAGGCAGGTGCTAAGTAGGAACTGAAACACTAGAAGCTGTCCTGGGGTGAGTTGTCCTGCTAGGTAATATTAAATATAACATGGATTCCCAAGGGAGCAAAGACAAGCCTTTGGCCAAATGTATTTAATTAAATTGTGAAAAAGTGGAAATCCATAAACAATTCTGGGAGAAATTAAATACAGCATCTGAGACTTGAGTTCTAGTCCTGTTTATTCTAACATTGACTATCTATGAAGTCATGGTCAAATAGGGTACTTTTACTCTTTTTTTTTTTTTTTTTTTTTTTGTCTTAAAACATGTTATTCTGTAAGTTTACATCCATGCCTTAAAAATTCAAGGCAGAAAGTAAAATCATTTAGAAAGTCAGAAATTCCATCAATACATCTAGACAGATGTTTGCTTGTAGTTTTTGGTATCCAAAACCTTTTTTCCACACATCGCACAGATGCCTTTTTTGTAGGCACAACCCTGGCAGTAATGAGAACCTGGTTGGTGCACAGAACTTTTACAAATTCTACAAGTGGAGAACTTATTCTTTCCATATGGATCAAATCTTGCTTTTTTTGAACTCAAAGCTTTATTTTCATTCAGCTTTCTTCCACCACTTTCTGTGGTATTCCTAGCACCATCTTTCCACGTGTCTGGAGTGATAACAGTACCAAGTTTCTTTTCACATTTTTCGCAGACCATCCTCCCCCACGATGGTTCCCCTAGCCACAACTGCAGCAGCAGCAGCGACAGCGGCCTGAAAACATCAAAACTAAAAAGGTACTTTTACTCTTAATTCCATTTCCTTTTGTGTAAAATGTGAGAATTGAAGTAAAATATCTATAAACGACATTTCAGCTTTAAAACTTGAAGATTCTATGACAGGATATCCCTCTACAAATTTAATTCGACTGCAGTGCCGATGGTGGATTATTACAACAGCCTCCTAACTGATATACCTGCTTTCAGGCTTGCTCTACCTCCAAAGTCATCTTTTTACTGACCACAAGAACCTTTCCTGATCAGATCTGAATTTTATCTTGATTAAAATTTTGCAGAGGTTTCCCAGAACTTTCAGAGCCTGAGGGACAGAGTGTAAACCTGTCTCAAAAAAAAAAAAAAAAAAAGACCTGTTAAATAAATGAATAAATGTATTGAAGCAAGAAGACCTAGTAAATTTAGCAATCCTTCAGGAGCAAAGTAATGCAGGTCTCAATTGATACGGCAGTACTAAGAATGGAAAGGTGGTTGTTCATCAGTAAATAATCCCAGAAACACAATCTATAAGATAAAATCAAAGAGTGTCAGTGAAGCAAGGCAGCACTTAGAGGACTGCAAGTTGCAGATACCAGGATGAAATCGCTTTTGTCAGACCCAAACAAAACAGGGCCAGAAAGGCATGAAGGAAGGGGCTCACATTTGTATGTCTGAGATAAAACTGTTTCTGAAGACTTTCTTAAAACATAAGAAATCCCTTCACATCCTTCATACATCGCTTCCTTTGCACAGCTGCAAGTTTCAGACATATACATCTATTTCTATGACAAGGCTTATCATTCTTTAGGACTACAGTAATTCAGTTAAGATGCTCTTAAAAGAACACTTGCCCAGTAACAGCATCTCCACCCACATACTGATGACAACTCTGACTCTGAGGCTCTGGAACCAATGAACTTAGTTTATTGAAGAGAACTCTTGCTTCTGTTTCCAAGCAGCTTTATGCGAACTTGCCCTTTTTGCCAATAAAAGCTTCCTTTACCCTTCCCTCACTGGATGTACTTGTGACTTGCCATTTCACGCATCCTGAATTCTAATATTCTCTTCCCATTTCTGAATAAATGAAACGTGTTTGGAGATATTTTTTCTGCACTTTTTTTTCCTGAGATTGAAAGAAGTCTGATGCATTGGTGCATATTTGTTAACTATTTAGCTTTAGTGAGTCTTCGATGATGTTTACCATTTAAAAAAACTAAATCCAACATCTGGATCCAATGTGTTCATGGAGAATTTTGGGAGACTGAGGCAGGAGGACAGCTTGAGGTCAGGAGCCACCATGTCCCACCCACATGAGATTCTTAAAGAAGGAAGTCACATTCTATGGACAATGTGTATTTGCTTGTGCTAGCCTATTGGATCCAGACTAGGCAACACAGCAAGACATCCCATCTCTAGCAAAAAGCAAAAAACAAAATAACACAACAAAACACATCTGGCCATGGTGGCATGCACCTGTAGTTCCAGCTACTCAGGAGACTGGGGCAGGAGGCTGGGGCAGGAGGCTGGCTTGAGCCCAGGAGTTCGAGGTTGCAGTGAGCTATGAATGTTGCCACTGCACTCCAGCCTGGGTGAAACCCTGTCTCCAAAGCTAAATTTTTTAAAAAATCTGATGTGACTGTGAATTTACGAGCTCAAATCTAGGGAGCTACAAAGTGAGCAAAGTTCACTTTGAGTACAAATGAAGGGAAAAGTTAAAGAAATCCATTATCTGTTGAATGCCTAATATGTGCTAGAAAGCCAGGGAAATAAATGAAAAGTGCAATTGGAGCTTGCAAAAAGGGTCAAGATGCTAAAGAAGGTTTAGTGAAAACTGAACTGGGATTTGATAAGATTAATTAATATAAACAAAACAGAGAGAAAGAAAAGAATGTAGTTTGTAGGCCAGGTAGAAGAGGAACTAATTTTACAGAAGAAAAACAAATCTAGATGTCATTTATTTTATTTCTCACGTCAAAAACCTGTAGCCCAATTATTTTAAACTTGTTATTTCCATTTTCAGTCTGTCTACAGGAAAAACTAACTCGATGTAATTAAGGGTAGAGATCAAAGGGCAGATTTTATTTGTATGGTGGTAAAGTTCAAAGTGCTGTTAGCTTCACAAACAATCCGCAAGACCAAAAACTTTGGGTGTACTCTAGAGTGTGAGATCCAAGTATTTAAACCATTAAAACTGAGTAGACAAAGGGGAGGATCTGGAAAGGGAAATGAGATATCAAAAACTGATATACGTTTAAAAATACTTTGGGAAAATAATAATTAAAAAAAGAACAAAATGAAAAAAAAAAATACTTTGGAAACTATCTTTTTTGAGACTGACCATTAGGAAGATATGTTTTTGGCAGTATATACCACTGTTTCACTCTAAAATCACCATTGAACTGTCATGTAACTTTCATCTATTTATTTGATTAGTGTATCCAAGCTTCAACAACCCAAGCCTAAGTAACACCAAATAAAGGAATAAATGAGGCTTTTTTTTTCCCCCCCTTTTTTGAGACTAGGTCTCGCTGTCAGCCGGGCTGGAGGGACAGTGGCCCAATACCCACTCACTGCAATCTCTGCCTCCCAGGCTCAAGCTATCCACCGTCAGCCTACAGGCGGGACCCCACCCCCACTCCCACACGCCCGCCCAGCTAATTTTTGTGGAGACGAGGTCTCACTATATTGCCCAGGCTAATCTCGAATTCCTGGGCTAAGGGATCCTCCTGCCTCGGGCCTACCCAGTTGTTGGGCTTACAGGCATGAGCCACCACACGGGGCGGAACATTTGTACTCTAATGAAAATTTTAACAGTTTTTACAGGATTTTAACATTTTCCTAGCTCCCAACTGTACCTAGCAGTTAAGAGTCCATTTAATGTACTTGTAATAATTTAGGCTAGTGTTTTATTTTTTCTACACTATTACCCACTCAAAGAACAAAAGTAGGTAACTCCTATAAAGTCTAATAGTCTGAAAATTGTAATGTCCGTTTTCTCTTTTGCCATAAGGTTAAGTCTTGCTAAATGCTGAATGGCTTTTTAACGCTCTACTAGATGTACATGCAGGAATACTAAGTGGAGGGGAAGTGATTTTATCTTTTATTTTATTTTTTTCCAGTTGAGATGGGGGTCTCACTGTGTCACTCAAGCTGGAGTGCCAGTGTGCAATTACTGCTTACCGCAATCTCTTGACCTCCCCTGGCTCAAGTGATCCTCCCACCTCAGCCTCCCGAGTAGCTGGGACTTCAGACACGCGCCACCACGCCCGACTAATTTTTTGTATTTTTAGTAGAGACGGGATTTCACCATGTTGACCAGGATGGTCTCGATCTCTCAACCTCGTGATCCACCAGCCTCGACCTCGCAAAGTGCTGGGATTACAGGCTTGAGCCACCGTGCCCGGCCTAACTTTTTTGTATGTTTCATAGAGACGGGGTTTTGCCACGTTGCGGAGGCTAGTCTTGAACTGCTGGGCTCAAGCGATCTGCCTGCCTCAGTCTCCCAAAGCGCTGGGATTACAGGCATGAGCCACAGCGCCCGGCCGTAATTCTATCTTAACCACTGTTTTTCAGGAACTATTACGTTTTAAAGAATGAGGAATTAACCGCCAACACTTCAGGTTCAACATGTAAACAAGGCCGCTCATTTGAGAATAAATCACAGTTTGTCACAGTTGTATTGAAAAATCCGCATTTCTGAACGTCATTTCACCATTACGGAAGTATAACTCAGACAAAATAAAATGTTTAACACACGGCTAGGACCAGAGCACAGATTTTAAAGAGGGAAGACTACGACCCCGACAGTGAACTGTCCCTTAACTTGGGCTTCCCAGGCGCGGCCCACCCCTCAGCCGGGCCCCGCCTCGGTTCAATCAAGACAAACAAGAGGACGGAAGCCTCGTGCCGTCGCGACGGTCTTTCCACGCCTCAGGTGCACTTAACTCAGTCAGTCCATCCACCCTATCCGCCATGAAAAATTATTTGGTTAGCAGGAATTGCCAAGTCAAATACAGCCATATAAAGCCCCCCTCTGACGTGCCAGGTGTGCATCGGAAGAGCGGCCACCCAAACCACCAGCAACCCGTCCGCGCCGGAAAATGCGCCCTCACTGGTTTCTGGGACCACTCAGAAAGTTCTAAGCGCCTTTCCCCGTAACGCAGAGGCACACCGGCCTTCCCTTGGGAAACTCAGCGGACCGACGTGCGCCGGTAACCGGTCAACTGTCAACCGCTGAAACCCTCAGAACCGCCTGAACAGTAAGAACCACCGCCGCCAGCGGCGCGAACTGGGGAAAAGACGTTGCGTCCTCGCCGATTGCCGGTTTCCGGAGGCGCGAGCCCGGCTCTCACATGGTCCATCCGGTTACGCAGCCACGGCGAGAACCCCGCCCTGCTAAGGAAAACGGGATGCCGTCTTAGCACCGGGGCTCCTACAGCCCGGGTACTAAGACAGCCCGAGTCGCGGACAAGTCCCGCAGACAGGCGGATCCGCGGGCAGCCCGCGTGCTGGAGGACCCCGGCGGCGGCTCCGGGTGGCGGGAAGGAGGAAGTTTCAAAGCCAGGTGGCCGCTGGGCGAGATGAAGCTACACTGTGAGGTGGAGGTGATCAGCCGGCACTTGCCGGCCTTGGGGCTGAGGAACCGGGGAAAGGGCGTCCGAGCAGTGCTGAGCCTCTGTCAGCAGACTTCCAGGAGTCAGCCGCGGGCCCCAGCCTTCCTGCTCATCTCTACCCTTAAGGACAAGCGGGGGACCCGCTATGAGGTGCGTAAAGTGGGCAGGGCTTGCTGGGCAGTCAGCCTCGCGTTCTTCTCTGGAGCCGAGACGCGGGCCCCCCTCGGGCCTCGCGCGCCGGGCTGCTCCCTGGGCGAGGGCCCGCCTTGGGGATCCTGAACTCCTGGCCCTGAGTCCTACCACGGTCCCGACGCCAGGGTCCCGTGCGCCTTCCTACGGACCCGAAAGAAGAAAGCTTTTGAGAGTGCACCTTTTCTCTGTTTTATTCTCCCCACTTTTACAACGTGAATTTACAGTGTTGCTATTTAGTAGTGGATGGCAATCCCGCCCGTTTAAAGCTTCTGAAACTTTGGTCAGCGGAGTGAAACTGCAAATGAAGCAGCTGTCCGATTGGTGGGAACAATAAAATAACTGCACTTCTGATCAGTAAATTTTTCTCCCACAGTATTTTCTCTAGCTTAAAAAAAAAAAAAGGCAGTCATAGCATCCTGCACTTGCCTTGTCTTAATATTTGTTATGCTTATAAGTACTTGTTTAATAACTGTCTCTCATCTGATTGTCAACTCTTTAAGTATAGTTACCTTGTCAGTCTTATTCATTGCTATCTCCTAAGTCCCTAGTAGAATACCTGGCTTCCGAGTCGATAGTTGATGAAATCTAAATCAGATGCAACAGCAATCATTAATTTTTTTTTCTTTTTAAAAAATTTAAATATGCCGTTTATGTAGATGATAGTCATTAAACATTTTTTGAGCACCCATTATGTGTCAATCACCGTTCTGGCACTGGGGATAGAATAGCAAAGGAGAGAAGATTCCTGCTCTCATGGAGTCTGTATATATATATCTACTGGGAGGTGTGACCACCCCAGGCTCTTGGACTGAAGTTATGAAGGCAAGTAACTGCTATTGGCAACTCTTCGTACAGTTACATAGTTAGAATGGGAGAAGAGGAGCATTCTCCCAAAACACGGTGATCATCTTCTTGAAGGAGAGTTGCTGGACAGATAGAGCAGTAACATCCACCACCAGCTAGATGAGGGGTATAGCTTCCCAACTGCTTTTTTTAAAAAAAAAAGCAAAAAAAGTTAAAACTTGGCTGGGGGCTGTGGCTCATGCCTGTAATCCTAACACTTTGGGAGGCCCAGGTGGGAGTTGTAGACCAACCTGGCCAACGTGATGAAACCCTGTTTCTATGAAAAATGCAAAAATTAGCCGGGCATGGTGGCATGCACCTATAATCCCAGCTACTCAGGAGGCTGAGGCAGGAGAATTGCTTGAACCTGGGAAGCGGAGGTTGCAGTGAGCTGAGATGGCACCACTGCACTCCAGCCTAGGTGACAGAGTGAGTGAGATTCTGTCTCAAAAAAAAAAAAAAAAAAAAAATTTTTTTTTAACTTTAAACTGTGAAAACACCCAGACTTAAGTAAGGAGTGAAAGCCAAACCAAAGCTTGGCAAAATGACTGGCACATTCCAGTTGTAATAAATGTTACTGAGTAACCATAACTAGTTTTCTTTTTTTCCCCACTGGTTTTATGCAGCTAAGAGAGAACATTGAGCAATTCTTCACCAAATTTGTAGATGAGGGGAAAGCCACTGTTCGGTTAAAGGAGCCTCCTTTGGATATCTGTCTAAGTAAGGTATGGTATTAAAAACATGAATGGTTAATGTTTGGCTGTATTTTCTTTATTTTTTAGAAACAGAGTCTTGTTCTGTCACACAAGCTGAAGTACAGTGACACAATCATAGCTCATTGTGGCCTCGACCTCCTAGGCTCAAGTAAGATTCCTGAGTATGTGCGACTACAGGTGTACCTCACCACTTCTGGCTGATTTTTTAAAATAACTTTTTGTAGAGACGGAGCCTTGATATGATGTTGCCCAGGCTGGCCTCGGACTCTTGGCCTCAGGTGATCCTCCTGCCCCAGTCTCCCAAAGTGTTGGGATTACAGGCATGAGCCATCATGTTTGGCCTGTATTTTATTTTATTTTTTTGCTCTTGTTGCCCAGGCTGTCGTGCAGGGGTGCCATCTCAGCTCACTGCAACCTCCACTTCCTGGGTAGCTGGGATTATAGGTGCCTGCTGCCATGCCTGGCTAATTTTTTTCTTTTTTTTCGTGTGTGTCTTTAGTAGAGACAGGGTTTCACCATGTGGACCAGGCTGGTTTTGAACTTCTGACCTCAGGTGATCCACCCACTTTGGCCTTCCAAAGTGCTGGGATGACAGGTGTGAGCCACTGCTCCTGGCCTGGCCTGTATTTTCTTTAAAGAAGGCTTTTTGCACATTCTGATATCCCATATAGCTGAAAAGGGACAGACTCTTGCAGGTTTGTGTGAAGAGGCAATGGCACAAGAGGCAGCTTCCCAAATATGTTTGTGTGACTTCTAAAAGGGCAAAGTCTGCCTTAGTAAGATTCCCAAGATGGGCAAGAAAACTGGGTTTGCTTCCATGCGGAAAATGGAGCCCTTGGATATTCTTAGACTGGAACTCTGTAAGGCAGCTGGCACAGGTCTATATTTTGCCAGCTAAAGCGCAGGTTGCAAATCTTAAGTTTGGTGTAATAAAAGAGGAAAAAATTAGAACCATTTGTATTTTATTTACTATAACCAATTTTTATTTTTTGAGATGGGATCTCACTCTGTTACCCAGGTTGGAGTGCAGTGGAAAGAGCTTGGCTCACTGCAACCCACAGGCGGGTGCCACCACTCCGGGGAGGCAGAGGTTGCAGTGAGCTGAGATCACACGACTACACTCCAGCCTGGGAAATAAGAGCGAAACTCTGTCTCAAAAAAAAAAAAAAAGTGTAATAACTAAGGAGTTTGGATTGAATGAAATCATTTCATTCCTTCTCCTCCTTGTGATTTTTTTCTTGATCTGTAGCCTGTTCTTTCACTAATTCCTCCTTTCTATCTAAAAACAAACGGAGGTCACACTGATTTAAAAAAAGAAAACAAATTTCTAGAAAGACAAGGCTGAATCCATTGCCTTCACTTTTTATCTTTTTTGGCCTTAACTTTTACTGGTTTATTGAAAACACTGCCTCACATTATCATTATTTCTCATTCTTTATGAACTCTGGAGAATTTCACAATGATAATTATCCTTAATAAAACTCTTTTCTTGGTATCTATGAGAGGGCGTTATGGTTTACCTTCAGTTTTCTTAGTCACTTCTTTGTCTCCTGCCTCCAGCAATATTTTTTTCTATCCTTAAAATGAAGGCTTTATTTCAGTCCTCTGCTGTTTTCTGTCATACCTGCCTTCCATTTGATAGCTCAGCTGTTACATGGTTTATTCCCAAGTCTGTGAGCCAGTATGCTTTATGGTACGTAGTTGACCCAGGTCTTCTCAAGACTTTTTCTTACTCCTGTTCATTGTGTATAGTGCTGCCAAAATACTATTTAATCCTTGTCATATAACTTTTTTTTTTTTTAAGCCAGTCAAATGTAGCAGTGGGGGGTTATATACCAACTTTAGTAACACTAATAATGTTAATGAGTTTTGGTAACCCACTATTGTCAGACCAGCCTGTCATGTAACTTTCATACTTAAAATTCTTCAGTGACTTCCCACAGCCTGAATACTTTCTCCACTTTACCTTGGGATCTGAGCTCATTTACAGTCTATCCTCATACTACATTTCCAATCTTTTACTCTACAGAATTTCCACATTCCAACAAAATACCATCATGTACTTGATTTCTCAAACTTGCTCAAAGTTTACTTATACTTCACCTGTAAACTTTAGGAAAATTGTAAAGTATCCTATTAGTGTTAGCTTTTTTTTTTTTTTTTTTTTTGATGTAGACTCACTCTGTCACCCAGGCTGCAGTACAGCGATACAATCTCAGCTCACTGCAACCTCTGCCTCCTGATTTCAAGCAATTCTCCTGCCTTAGCCTGCCAAGCAGCTGGGATTACAGGCGCCCGTTACTATGTCCAGCTAATTTGTATATTTTTAGTAGTGGCGGACTTTCACCACGTTGGCCAAGCTAGCCTCTAACTCTAAACCTCAAGTGATCTGCCTGCCTCAGTGTTGGGATTACAGGCGTGAGCCACCATGCGCAGCCTTTTCTTTCCTTTTTGAGATGGAATTTCACCCTTGTTGCCCAGGCTGGAGTGCAGTGGCACAATCTTGACTCACTGCAACCTTTGCCTCCCAGGTTCAAGCAGGTCTCCTGCCTCAGCCTCCTCCACCTCCCGAGTAGCTGGGATTATAGGCATGTGCCACCACCCCCAGCTAATTTTTGTATTATTAGTAGAGAAGGGGTGTCACCATGTTGACCAGGCTGGTCTCAAACTCCTGACCTCAAGTAACCTGCCGACCTCGGCCTCCCAACATACTGGGATCACAGGCGTGAGTCATTATGCCTGGCCTTAAACTAAAATCTTTTTTTTTTCCCTCAGACAAAGAGTCTCACTCTGTTGCCCAGCCTGGAGTACAGTGATGTGATCTCGGCTCACTGCAACCTCTGCCTCCAAGGTTCAAGTAATTCTCCTACTTAAGCCCCAGAGAAGCTGGGATTTACAGGCGTGTGCCACCACACCCAGCTAACTTTTGTATTCTTAGCAGAAATGGGGCTTCATCATGTTGTCCGGGCCGATCTCAAACTTCTGACCTCAAATGATCACCTGTCTTGGGCTCCCAAAGTCCTGGGATTACAAGCATGAGCCACTGCACCCTGCCTAAACTCAAATCTTAAGTGGAATATTCAGTCCTTTCCTGTCTTATTTTATGATTTCCCTTTATTTTTACTCTTTGCTGTTTTTTGTTTTTTTGAGACAGTCTCACTCTGTTGCCCAGGCTGGAGGGCAGAGGTATGATCCTGGCTTACTGCAGCCTCTACCTTCTGGGCTCAGGTGATCCTTCCACCTCAGCCTCCCAAAGTATAAGTATGATTTCCCTTTGAACAGTTTTATCTAGAATGCGTTCCTCCACATAATTTTTCTTCAAAAACTTTTAAACTTTAGGCCGGGCGTGGTGGCTCAAGCCTGTAATCCCAGCACTTTGGGAAGCTGAGGCGGGTGGATCACGAGGTTAAGAGATCGAGACCATCCTGGTCAACATGGTGAAACCCCGTCTCTACTAAAAATACAAAAAATTAGCTGGGCATGGTGGTGTGTGCCTGTAATCCCAGCTATTCAGGAGGCTGAGGCAGGAGAATTGCCTGAACCCAGGAGACGGAGGTTGCGGTGAGCTAAGATCACGCCATTGCACTCCAGCCTGGGTAAGAAGAGCAAAACTCCATCTCAAAAAAAAAAAAAAAAAAAACAGCCGGGCGCGGTGGCTCAAGCCTGTAATCCCAGCACTTTGGGAGGCCAAGGCGGGTGGATCACAAGGTCGAGAGATCGAGACCATCCTGGTCAACATGGTGAAACCCCGTCTCTACTAAAAATACAAAAAACTAGCTGGGCGTGGTGGCGCATGCCTGTAATCCCAGCTACTCAGGAGGCTGAGGCAGGAGAATTGCCTGAACCCAGGAGGCGGAGGTTGCGGTGAGCCGAGACCGCGCCATTGCACTCCAGCCTGGAAAGAGCGAAACTCCAGTCTCAAAAAAAAAAAAAAAAAAAACAAGGCCAGGCTCGGTGGCTCAAGCCTGTAATCCCAGCACTTTGGGAGGCCGAGGCGGGTGGATCACGAGGTTGAGAGATCGAGACCCTCCTGGTCAACATGGTGAAACCCCGTCTCTACTAAAAATACAAAAAAATTAGCTGGGCATGGTGGCACATGCCTGTAATCCCAGCTACTCAGGAGGCTGAGGCAGGAGAATTGGCTGAACCCAGGAGGCGGAGGTTGCAGTGAGCCAAGATCGCGCCATTGCACTCCAGCCTGGGTAACAAGAGCAAAATTCCATCTCAAAAAAAAAAAAAAAAACTTTTTTTTTTAAATAAAACTTTAAATAAACTTTAAATTTAGTCAAAATACTAAAAAAAAAATGTTTTACAGCTAATTTCAATAAATCATTGTATCACATTCATAAATAATACTGTAGAATTTGTTGTGGGAAGAACTAGCATGTATGCATTTTCTACAATGGAATTTATAATTCTACAACTTTTTTTTGATTCAGGCCAATTCCAGCAATTTAAAAGGTTTCCTTTCCGCTGTGAGATTGGCTCATAGAGGCTGCAATGTTGATACATCAGTTTCAACGCTCACAGCAGTGAAGACTTCAGAATTCGAAAACTTTAAAACTAAAATGGTTATCACATCCAAAAAAGACTATCCTCTAAGCAAGAACTTTCCATATTCCCTGGAACATCTTCAGACTTCTTACTGTGGGCTTGTCCGAGTTGATATGCGCATGCTTTGCTTAAAAAACCTTAGGAAATTAGACTTGAGTCACAACCATATCAAAAAGCTTCCAGCTACAATTGGAGACCTCGTACACCTTCAAGAACTTAACCTGAATGACAATCACTTGGAGTCATTTAGTGTAGCCTTGTGTCAGTCTACACTCCAGAAGTCACTTCGGAGTTTGGACCTCAGCAAGAACAAAATCAAGGCACTCCCTGTGCAGTTTTGCCAGCTCCAGGAACTTACGAATTTAAAACTTGACGATAATGAATTGATTCGATTTCCTTGCAAGATAGGACAACTGATAAACCTTCGCTTTTTGTCAGCAGCTCGAAATAAGCTTCCATTTTTGCCTAGTGAATTTAGAAATTTATCCCTTGAATACTTGGATCTTTTTGGAAATACTTTTGAACAACTTGAAGTCCTTCCAGTAATAAAGCTGCAAGTCCCTTTAACTTTATTGGAATCTTCTGCACGTAACATTTTATATAATAGGTAAGATTTTAATAGTCATGTAATGTATTTTTGATAGCATTCTAATATTCTCATCAAACTCAGAGTAATAAAGTGTAACATTGCTTACAATACTATGCATAGTCTGACCCTTTGCTATAATGGCCTTCTTGCTATTCCTTACCTCTGCTTAGAATGATTTTTCTCCAGGAAGTCTCATGGCTCACTCCCTCACCTCATTCAGTTCTCTGCCCAAGTGTCATCCCAGAAAGGTCTTACCTGTCCATCCTATCTAAATTTTATTTCTTACCTCCTTACATGCTTGATTTTTAAATTTTGTTTATTTGGTCATAGGACTCATTGCCTTTATATATATATATATATATATATATATATTTACATATGGTTTTTTTTTTTTTTTAAACCTGAGATGGAGTCTCACCCCATCACCCAGGCTGGAGTGCGATGGTGTGATCTTGGCTCACTGTAACCTCCGCTTCGTGGGTTCAAGCAGTTCTCCTGCCTCAGCCTCCAGAGCAGGTGAGATTACAGGTGACTGCCACCATGCCCAGCTAATTTTTTGTACCTTTTGTAGAGATGGGATTTCATCATATTGGCCAGGCTGGTGTCAAACTCCTGACCTCATGATATGCCCGCCTCAGCCTCCCAAAGTGTTGGGATTACAGGCGTGAGCCACTGTGCCTGGCCTGTTACATATTTTTAAACCTTTTTTGTTTGTTCGTTTGCTGCCAGTTTTTCTTCACTAGAATGTAAGATCCATGAGCATATGTATGTTGTTTTATTCTCCACTATTTCCCTAGTATCTAAACCATGTATCTCCTGCTCCTAGCATACATTAAGCACTCAATAAGTAATTAAATGGGCTGGGTGAGGTGTTCACGCCTTTAATCCCAGCACTTTAGGATGCCAAGGGGGGAAGATCATGAAGTCAGGAGTTCGATACTAGCTTGGTGGCATGCTCCTGTAGTCCCAGCTACTCGGTAGACTGAGGCAGGAGAATCGCTTGAACTCAGGAGGAGGATGTTGCAGTGAGCTGAGATCGTGCCACTGCACGCCAGCCTGGTGACAGATCAAGACTCCATCTCAAAAAAATAAAACTAGGTAGTTAAATGAATGAATGGTGTTTTTTCTCAAAGTGGTGCTCCCCTGACCAGCAGGCTCTGCATCACCTAGGAACTTGTTAGAGATGTAAGTTCTAACATTCCAGACCTACCGAATTAGAAACTGAGAGTGGAATCCAGCTATCTATGTTTAGTGAGTCCTCCAGGTGATTCTGATGTACCGTAAAATTAGAGAATTGGCATAGTGATGAAGTGTGGTCTTTGGAGTAAGACTTGGGTTTGATTCCTGGCTTCACCTCTTTGTATGACTTTTAACCTCTTTTTTTTTTGAGACAGGATCTCGCTCTGTTGTCCAGGCTGGAGTGCAGTAGTCCAGTCTCAGCTCACTGTAACTTCTGCCTCCTGGCTTCAAGCGATACTTCTACCTCAGCCTCCTAAGTACCTGGGATTACTGGTGCTTACTACCATGCCTGACTCATTTTTGTATTTTTATTTTATTTTATTTATTTGTTTTTTTGTTTTTTTGAGACAGAGTCTCACTGTGTCATCCAGGCTGGAGTGCAGTGGTATGACCTCACCTCACTGCAGCCTCTACCTCCTGGGTTCAAGCAATTCTTCTGCCTCAGTCTCCCAAGAAGCTAGGACTACAGGCGCCTACCACCATGTCCTGCTAATTTATTTTGTATTTTTAATAGAGATAGAGTTTAACTGTGTTGGCCAAGCTGGTCTTGAACTCCTGATCTTGTGATCCGCCTGCCTCAGCTTCCCAAAGTGCTGGGATTACAGGTGTAAGTCACTGCACCTGGCCTTGTGTTTTAATTTTTTCAGATGGAGTTCTTGCTCTGTCACCGAGGTTGGAGTGCAGTGGCACGATCTCGGCTCCGTGTGACCTCTGTTGACCGAGTTCCAGCAGTCCAGCCTAGGCAACAGAGCAACACCCTATCTCTAAAGATTTCTTTTACTTAAAAGAAAACCTGGCCGGGCGCGGTGGCTCAAGCCTGTAATCCCAGCACTTTAGGAGGCCGAGGCGGGTGGATCACGAGGTCAAGAGATCGAGACCATCCTGGTCAACATGGTGAAACCCCATCTCTACTAAAAATACAAAAAATTAGCTGGGCATGGTGATGCGTGCCTGTAATCCCAGCTACTCAGGAGGCTGAGGTAAGAGAATTGCCCGAACCCAGGAGGCGGAGGTTGCGGTGAGCCGAGATCGCGCCATTGCACTCCAGCCTGGGCAACAAGAGCGAAACTCCGTCTCAAAAAAAAAAAAAAAAAAGAAAACCCACTGATAACTGGGCGTGGTGGCACACATCTGTAGTCTCAGCTTCTTGGGAGGCTGAGGTGGGAGGATAATCTGAGCCTAAAAGTTTGAGACCAGCCTGGCCAACATGGCAAAACCCTATCTATAAAAAATAAACCAGGCCGGTCACAGTGGCTCATGCTTATAATCCCAGCACTTTGGGAGGTCCAGGCAGGAGGATTATGTGAGGTCAGAAGTTCGAGACCAGCCTGGTAGACATAGTGAAACCCTGTCTACACGAAAAATACAAAATTAGCCAGGTGTAGTGGCACATGCCTGTAATCCCAGCTACAAAATAAATCACTGCTTTACGTTGTGCTTCTCAAACTTTAATTTGCATTCAAATCTGCTGGGAGTCTTGTTAGCAGATTCTGTTTCAGACGTCTGGGGTGAAAATCCTGCATTTCTTTTTTTTTTTTTTTTTGAGACGGAGTTTCGCTCTTGTTACCCAGGCTGGAGTGCAGTGGCGCGATCTCGGCTCACCTCAACCTCCGCCTCCTGGGTTCAGGCAATTCTCCTGCCTCAGCCTCCTGAGTAGCTGGGATTACAGGCACGCGCAACCATGCCCAGCTAATTTTTTTGTATTTTTAGTAGAGACGGGGTTTCACCTTGTTGACCAAGATGGTCTCGATCTCTTGACCTCGTGATCCACCCGCCTCGGCCTCCCAAAGTGCTGGGATTACAGGCTTGAGCCACCACGCCGGGCGAAAATCCTGCATTTCTAACAAGCTTCCAGCTGTGGTTGCTAGTCCATGGACCATACATTGGTGCCTCCTAAAAGTGCTGTTAATTACTAAGGCTCTAAATGTAATTTAAGTACTCACTGTTTCAAGGCAGTTATTCTCAAAATTTTAAGAGTGTATCAGAACCATGGTTGTTGAAATAGTGCTAGTTTAAAAAGATTATTGGACCCTAACCCTCAGTGATTCAGATTCCATAAGTTTAGGGTAGAGCTAAAGAAATCACATCTCTGGTTGTTGTTGGGTTTTCGTTTTTCGGATTTTTTTTTTTTTTTTTTTTTTTAGGTCGTGTTGTTTTGTTTTGTTTTTGAGACAGGGGCTCACTCTGTCACTCAGACCGGAGTTCAGTGGCACATACATAGCTCACTGAAACCTCAGACTCCTGGGTTCAAGCCATCCTCCCACCACAGCCTCCTGAGTAGCAAGGACTACACATGCCACTAAGTTCTGGCTTATTTTTTGGTAGAGATGGGGGTTTTGTTATGTTGTCCAGGCTTGGTCTTGAAACTCCTGGCCTCAAGCAATCCTCCTGCCTCAGCCCCTCAAAGTTCTGGTCTTACAGGCATGAGCCACTGTGGCTAACAAAAAAACTGCATCTCTGACAAGTTCCCAGATGATGCTGATGTTGCTGGTCAGGGAACTACATTTTAGAATGACTGGTTTAAAGCATTTACCCCTAACTAGCAGTTAAGAAAGGTATTAAATGATAATACTTATAATTGCCTATGACTGTACCTGGCTATAAAAGGCCTTAATGTTTTTTTCTGAGGTAGGAGAATCACTCGAACCTGGGAAGCAGAGATTGCAGTGAGCTGAGATTGCGCCACTGACTCCAGCCTGTGCAACAGAGCGAGACTCCATCTCAAAAGAAAGAAAAAGAGAAAGAGAGGGAAGGCAGAAGGGAAGGAAGGGAAGAAAGGAAAGAAGGGAAGGAAGGGGAAGAAAGGAAAAAAGAAAGATCACCAGAGGTGATACTGATGATTCAGGTTAAAACTGCTGATTTGAGGAAATTCCAAATGGTATCTTTTGGCATTGAGGTGCACCTGAGGCTATTGTTTCTCTAAGACATCCGTAAAAGAAATTGTATATTGTATTTATTCACATTTGGAAAGTATATCCAAATGAGAAATGTTATAAATAGTTTTGATTTGAAAAGACTATAACAAGTTGGCTAAATGTTCAGGGAAAAACATGCTGAATTTCCATATGAAAAAGTACAAAGTTGGAAGGAAAAGAATAGATGATCAGAATATGATATAATTGGCAAGGCATAATTAGAAAATTGACCCTATGAATATAGCTTTCTTGTAAAGTGACCAAACCTTTACTGAAGTATAATTTTGCATGTTTTAAACTCCCTTGTTTTAAAAAGTGTATAGATTCAAAGCCGTGACAGCAATACTTATTGTCTAGCTGTTGATACATGGCCTTAACTACTGGTTACAAGCATATGGTTATGATCTATTAGGAAACTATGTGGGGATTTAAGTTATGTCAGATAGAAAATAGTTTTTAACTATTATCTGTTTCCTCAGACTACAACCATCTATCCTGAAAGAGATAAATGTAAACATGTGGAAGACACTTCCTGGCAGAGTTTTTTAAAATGGTTATACAAGCAACAGATTAATAAAGTCTTTTTATGAAAATTTTTAAAATTGCAAATAGGGCCATCCTAGATCCCCTTCCAAAGGTAACCACTGCTTTTTAATTTGAAATGTGTATCTTCTCAGACTTTTCTGATAGGGTTTTCAACTTTAAGTTATAAGACTAGGCTTATTTGTTGAAAAATATCTGAGCACCTACTATGTGCCAGCCTAGGCTAGAGATGAGAAACAACAAAGAACAAGACACTGTGTGGGAGGCAAAGTGAGTGGGGACGTTTAGGGGGGACGTTTGGGCAGTGGTCCACACTGTTTTTTAGTATCTTGTAGATGATTTAAAAATTTGACTTGGAAGCTTACCGCAGTAGCTCATGCCTATAATCTCAGCACTTTGGGAGTTAGAGGTGGGTGGATCACTTGAGGTCAGGAGTTCAAGACCAGCCTGGCCAACATGGTTAACCCTGTCTCTACTAAAAATGCAAACATTAGCCAGGCATGATGGTGTGTGCCTATAGTCCCAGCTGCTCAGGAGGCTGAAGCAGGAGAATTGCTTGAACCCTGGAGGTGGAGGTTACAGTGAGCTGAGATTGCACCATGTACTCCAGCCTGGGCAACAGAGTGAGACTCTGTCTCAAAAAAAAAAAAAAAAAAAGTTTAGGCTAGGCACAGTGGCTCACACCTGTAATCCTAGCACTTCTGGAGGCTGAGGTGGGTGGGTCACCTTAGGGTCAGGAGTTTGAGACCAGCCTGGCCAACATAGTGAAACCCCATCTCTACTAACTACAATACAAACAAAAATTAGCCAGGCGTGGTGGTGGGCACCTGTAATCCCAGCTACTAGGAAGGCTGAGGCAGAAGAATTGCTTGAACCCAGGAGGCAGAGGTTGCAGTAAGATTGTGCCTCTGCACTCCAGCCTGGGCATCAGAGAAAGATTCTGTCTCAAAAAATAAAAAGTTTGACTTGGGCACCATTAAAAGGATTTTAAGTGTGAGAGTGAAATGCCTTAAGCGAGGTAAGGTTAGCCTACTTGCCCAGCCACTAACGTAAAACTCATGACCCAAGTTACATGTATTTTAAATTTGTCTTAGAGAATTGAAATTTCCCTTTTGAACAATTGATCCCTAGGAGAGCCTGTTTAAGGAATGGTGACTTTTTCATTCTACTCGGGGGTTATGCTGTTAAGTGGTCATGCTGCAAGATATTTTATGGTGTGGTATCTGAAGTTTACAATATGTCATATATTTTAAATATACTAGTCACTTAATAATTTTATTTTTCATTTACAATTTCATGTCCTAATAATTCATGTCCTGAATCTAGTAACATGTTATATTTTTATCATTCTTTCCAATAGGATTCCCTATGGTTCTCATATCATTCCATTCCATCTCTGCCAAGATTTGGACACTGCAAAAACGTGTGTTTGTGGAAGATTCTGTCTGAACTCTTTTATTCAAGGAACTACTACCATGAATCTGCACTCTGTTGCCCACACTGTGGTCTTAGTAGACAATATGGGTGGTACTGAAGCACCTATTATGTCTTATTTCTGTTCTCTAGGCTGTTATGTAAATTCCTCTGATATGTTAAAGTAATGAATGATACTACAAAAAGAAATTTCAATTACAGATGAGTTTGGGATGCACGTATGATTTTACAGCATCAAATTGGAGTAAAGGAAGCTTTCTGTATACATGCTGGGGAGGAGGAATGTGTATAGTTTATAATCGTTTGACTCCAAAACTTTTATTAAAACCAATTTTAATTTTATTGTAGGGTTAACTTTTTTTTTTAGTTTATTACACTTATGTTTATTTCAGAAGTTTCCAAGATGTACTGTAGAGTTATCTTTTAATGTTAAATAGATATTGATCCCAATTACTCTGTTCATAAGAATTTTATCAACTTTCTTCTTACATTTCAGTTAAACACATCTGAGTTTCTGTATTCATAAAATATAGTGAAAACTTTATTATGAAATTATATATGTTTTTAAGCATACCACTTGTTTTTCAGGCACATTGTTCTACATGTGGAATTTACCTTTGCCAAGCAAAAAGTAGGAATTGTTTAGGAAAAGACTTAAGCTTTTATAATTTTAAAAAATGTTCCTGTAATCTTTGTTGTGATTTCTGTTTTTGTTTTTTATTTTCTGAGACTCGGAGTCTTGCCCTGTCACCCAGGCTGGAGTGCGTGGTGCGATCTGGGCTTACTGCAACCTTCTCCTCAGCCTCCTGAGTAGCTGTGATTGCAGGCACACACCACCATGCCCAGCTAATTTTTTGTATTTTTCAGTAGAGACAGTGTTTCACCATGTTGGCCAGGCGGGTCTCCAGTTCCTGACCTCAAGTGATGCGCCTGTCTCACCCTCCCAGAGTACTGGGATTACAGGCACAAGCCACCGTGCCTGGGGATTGGGTGGAGAGGGAACAGAAAGTTGCTGCTTTTTTGCTAATTACATTTTGTATTAGGGTGGTTTTTAAAAATTATTTTTGTCACTAATATGACAAAAATGTCATTAATTACAAAATGTTTAATATGACATTTTTGTCATATTAAATAATAGAATGTTTAATGTGTTTAATTTTAAAAGTAGTGGTAACACACCAGCTAAATGGTGATTTGGGCCCATTACAGTGACTCATACGTGTAATTCCAACACTTGGGGAGGTCAGGATGGGCAGATTGCTTGAGCCGAGAATTCAAAACCAGCTTGGGCACCAAGACAAAAACTGGTATCTGCGAAAAATGCAAAATTTAACAGAGCTTTGTGACGCACACCTGTAGTCTGTTACTCAGGAGGCTGAAATGGGAGGATCACTTGAGCCTAGGAGACAGAGATGGCAGTTAGCCAAGATCCTGCCATTGCACTCCAGCCTGGGTGACAGATGGAGACCCTGTCTCAAAAAAAGATGACATGAACTAGGACATAAGAAATGGGAAAAAAAACAACTTGAAAGAATCATGGAAAATAGACCACTATGAACTTTTACATGCTATTCATTCCCACTGCCCTACCTCAAGTCAGCCTCTCCAACAGAACATTGCAGTAACCTCAGACTGGTTTTTGTGAACAGAGGAGAGAATTAGTTACCAGAGAAAAACCATTCTCCAGTGTTACATAATGTAATTGCTGTTTTGACGGTTGTTAGCAGAGTCTCCATAAGACTATTTCTTACAAAATAACTACCCCCGTTGTCTTCCTGAAATGTTTGGGGCATTCTTTTTTCAAAATTCAGATGCTCCTGAGTAGATGGATCTTATGTATTTATTTATTTGAGACAGAGTCTCACTGTTGCCCAGACTGGAGTGCAGTGGCGTGATTTCAACTCACTGCAACCTCCACCACCTGGGTTCAAGCAAATCTCCTGCCTCAGCCTCCTGAGTAGCTACGATTACAGGCGCGCACCACCACACCTGGCTAATTTTTGTATTTTTAGTAGAGATGGGTTTTCACCATATTGGTAAGGCTGGTCTCGAACTCCTGACCTCGTGGTCTGCCCAGCTCTGCCTCCCGAAGTGTTGGGATTCCAGGCATGAGCCACTGCACCTGGCATAGATGAAATTTGAAATGTTAGAACATTTTTATTGAAACTGCACATATGATCTTCAAAACAGTTTCTACTCTGCTGATTCTGAGATACTAGAATTGGCCCAGAGTCAGTTTAGTTCTTCCAAAACACTATGCAATGCAAACGTGCTTTTAATAGAACTGCTGTTCATTTTCGTTCCAGGTGTTTTATTTGAACTATTCCTTTATATTCAAGGCCAGTCTACAGTGCTGTACAAAGTAACTTTCTGTGGTAGAAATGTATTACATTTCTGTGTTGTCCCATCAACCAGGAACATGTGGCTGCTGAGTACTAAATGTGACTAGTCTAACAGGAAGCAAATTACCTGGCTAGTGGCCACTACTAGACAGAACATTTGCAGTCAGCTCTTATCCCCCAACTTCAATCCTTTGTCCCACCCAGCCTGCTAAACACAAGCCTAGCATATCTTGTTTCTTCTCTTGCAAAATCTGATTCAAAGACCCTTCTCAACTGCTTCATGATTATGAATTCACTCAACATTTGAAATTGACCAGAAAACAAAATATCATTTTTCCTTCCATTTTGTATGTAGATAAACTTGGTTGTAAAGTTTTGAGGTGAGACTTTATATGTAAATACAAAATTCTAATTCTTGGGAACTGAATTTAAATAGAATTTGTCAAGAGGATAAACCTCATTCGATTCCAAAAAATTCACTGTTATTTCCTTAATCTAGAACTACATTAAACATGGAATTCTATTTGTAAGTAAAAACCACAAAAGGTTTGCTTCTTGTAAGAATACCACTGTATTTATTTTCTAACAGGTAATTTTTCTACGGCTTCAACATTTTCTTTACAATATTAAAAGAAAAAATCCCAAAGTTTAGAACTGGATCACTTGGCCCTTTCTCTTCTTATCTCCTCCCAGTTCAAAATGCTTGCATCTCTTAATGGCCAGCATCCTCTTGGATCTGCAGTTAGGCTCAACACATTCCAGGCGGAGCACAATCTTCTTTGTGGTCTTAGCCTTCTTCCGGAAAATTGGCTTTGTCTGCCCACCATAGCCACTCTGCTTCCGATCATAGCGCCTCTTTCCCTGGGCATACAAGGAATCCTTGCCCTTCTTATACTGTGTCACTTTGTGAGGCTGATGCTTGCCACACTTCTTACAGAAGGTTCTTCGGGTTTTAGGTACGTTGACCATCTTTGCAGAAGGGCTGGTCTGTCTATATGATGAAAACTGAAACAAAATATTTAAAATAAGATAGACATTAAACATTCCGAAAAGTGAAAGTGCTATACAAGCAGACATAGGAAAACCATATGCACAGATCAGCAATATATAAATCCACATACTCATTTCCCATATGAATAAATGCACATACAAGTGCATACCTTTTTGAAACACTTTGTTTAAATTACTGGAGGACTAATTTGTCGACCTAAAGGAAAAATCTGAGGCAAAATTCATTTAAGTAGAGTATTTGGGCCAAGTTTGAGGATTGCAACCGAGCACAGATTCAGACTGCCCTGAATAGCAGCAGATGCAAGTGGATTTTCAGAGGAAAAAAATGGCAGTTCCTAAGTTGTTTACCAAAACGTTACATTAAAATAATACAAGCGATTGATTGGCTATGCATCGTTCTTTTTATGACAAATTCCAGGCACATGGACATAATGGGTGAGACAGCTAGTCAGGGATAAAATGCAGACATGAAGTGGGGAGGTGTTTGAACTTCCATACTCCTGTCTCTCCGGGTCAGCAAATTTTGCACACCTCAAATAACTCACAATGCTCCGGGCCATTTTTCTTTTCTCCGAACACGACTCACGAAAACCAAGAGCAGCAGCTTTCGGAGGCCCAATACAGTCAGCTTTCTGTAGGAAATGAGTTTAATTCTGCCCCCAAAGAAAGGCACAGTTCAATTTATTTTCTTCCGCAGAAAAGAGCCTGTTAAGGGCAAGAGTTTGACTCCCCCGCAACCCCCACCTCCTCCATTTTCCAGCTCTAGAGAATGGCTGGGGCCGAGCGCGACGTTGTAGCTACGGTTACCACCCGCCCCGTTCTTTGTCCGAGAACCAAATCAGCGCGGATTCACTTTTCCCGTGCGGTCACCCGTCAGCAGCCACGAAGGCTGACGTGTCCTCATCAAACCCGCGCGCCTCGCGATCCTGCAGCCGCCATGCCTGAGTCCCTTTCCTGAAGGAAGAAGCCAGCTCTCCAACTAAGAAGCGAGGGCCGTGGGTCTCGCCTTCTCTTTCCTACGAAGGCTTGGTCCTACCCCGAATTCTGAGCAACGGAGGCTACTAATGGAACCGCTACAGTCCCGTTCTTAACTTACCCAGAAACGGCGTCCGAGACACTCGCCTCGCGCAGCTCTCGCCTCGCAACAGGAAAGGGAAGAAAGGACCGGAAGTAGGAACTGCACCTGAGCGACAGTACTGTCAACCAATAGGCAGCCGGCCACCGCGGCCAGGCGTCTTCGGACGTGTCTGGAAAGCACCAACCAACGATCTAAGGGGTGGGCCGGAGGGCTGTGGGCCCGAGGGCAGCGGTGTTCCGCGAGCCAGTTGCGGGTTGTCAGAACGGTCGCCGCCCGAGTGAGTCGAGGCTGCATCGCTCAGTCCTGGCCGTCTACGGCCCGCCTAAGGATGAGAGCGCAGAGGACGCAGGGCCCCTGGAGGTGCAGGTAACGAAGCTAGGGTGCGGTGGGGCCACAGCTGGGCTTCTTCCGGACCCGTGGTGCTGAATGGAGAGTACCGAGACGAAGCCGAGCCGCGGCTCCTAGCGGCGCCGATGCCCGAGCTGTAGCTGCCAGGCGAGGATGTGTGGAGCGCAGGCGGCGCGGGGTAGCTGAGCGCCCTAGGGCCCCAGGACTCTCGGGGCCCGGGATGAGTTAGCGAGGGCAGCCGCGGGGGCCAGTTCCGACAGTGACAGGCCAAGGCGACGGCCGCCGCCCGCCCGCCCCTTCCGTGCAGAAGCCGCTACTCCTTTCCGCGCCCGCCCGCCCGCGCTCCCGGCCCTGGAGACCATGAGGTTCCGCATCTACAAACGGAAGGTGCTAATCCTGACGCTCGTGGTGGCTGCCTGCGGCTTCGTCCTCTGGAGCAGCAATGGGCGACAAAGGAAGAACGAGGCCCTCGCCCCGCCGTTGCTGGACGCCGAACCCCCGCGGGGTGCAGGCAGCCGGGGCGGGGACCACCCATCTGTGGCTGTGGGCATCCGCAAGGTCTCCAACGAGTCGGCGGCTCCCCTGGTCCCCGCGGCCCCACAGCCCGAGGCGGACAACCTGACGCTGCGGTACCGGTCCCTGGTGTACCAGCTTAACTTTGATCAGACACTGAGGAATGTAGATAAGGCTGGCACCTGGTCCGCCCGGGAGCTGGTGCTGGTAGTCCAGGTGCATAACCGGCCCGAATACCTCAGACTGCTGCTGGACTCACTTCGAAAAGCCCAGGGAATTGACAACGTCCTCGTCATCTTTAGCCACGACTTCTGGTCGACTGAAATCAATCAGCTGATCGCTGGGGTGGATTTCTGTCCGGTTCTGCAAGTGTTCTTTCCTTTCAGCATTCAGTTGTACCCTAACGAGTTTCCAGGCAGTGACCCTAGAGATTGTCCCAGAGACCTGCCGAAGAATGCAGCTTTGAAATTGGGGTGCATTAATGCTGAGTATCCCGACTCCTTCGGCCATTATAGAGAGGCCAAATTCTCTCAGACCAAACATCATTGGTGGTGGAAGCTTCATTTTGTATGGGAAAGAGTCAAAATTCTTCAAGATTATGCTGGCCTTATACTTTTCCTAGAAGAGGATCACTACTTAGCCCCAGACTTTTACCATGTCTTCAAAAAGATGTGGAAACTGAAGCAGCAAGAGTGCCCTGAATGTGATGTTCTCTCCCTGGGGACCTATACTGCCAGTCGCAGTTTCTATGGCATGGCTGACAAGGTAGATGTAAAAACTTGGAAATCCACAGAGCACAATATGGGTCTAGCCTTGACCCGAAATGCCTATCAGAAGCTGATCGAGTGCACAGACACTTTCTGTACTTATGATGATTATAACTGGGACTGGACTCTTCAATACTTGACTGTATCTTGTCTTCCAAAATTCTGGAAAGTGCTGGTTCCTCAAGTTCCTAGGATTTTTCATGCTGGAGACTGTGGTATGCATCACAAGAAAACGTGTAGACCATCCACTCAGAGTGCCCAAATTGAGTCACTCTTAAATAATAACAAACAATACATGTTTCCAGAAACTCTAACTATCAGTGAGAAGTTTACTACGGTAGCCATTTCGCCACCTAGAAAAAATGGAGGGTGGGGAGATATTAGGGACCATGAACTCTGTAAAAGTTATAGAAGACTGCAGTGAAAAAAATCTCAATTACAAAAACAAAAGTGACAGTCTTCTATTTTTGATATTTGTCCAAACAAGATATACAATTGAACAAAAGTTTAGGAACTGGTTTCTGCTTTAATAAACAAAATCTTGTAAAAGGTGTCCAAATACATAATAATCTTTTCCAGTTATGGCTGATTAAGATTTAAAACTGAAGGTTTCATTTTGGAAGTAGGGTTTTAAAGCTCAATCTGTATCTGCTAAAAATGATTATTGTTGATAGAAGAGGGGAAATTTATTTAAATTGCATCTATTAATCTTTTTATCTGAAACTTTGTACACTTTTCCACTTTCAAAACCTATTTTAAGTACAGCAAATTAAAACTGTCATAGTAAAAAGTATTACAGTGAAATTGTTAGAGTATTAATGGAAGAAACCCAGTTTCCCTCTTGACACAGTTATTAGGAAGGATTGCTTCAGTGGTTTAAGAATGAAAAAGTTATGTTTGTTTGAACACCCTGTCAGAACCGTCATTTTCAGTATGATAAATTCCTGTACTGTTGTGTTTTGCGTGTGCTTTGGAACCTTCATAGAACACACTTTTTTTGGAATGTATTTGATAAGAAAGTTTAAACATTGTTTTCACCTCAATGTAGAAATACAGTGGTTTTGTTTTTTTTCTTTTAGTGCTGACAAAATAAAATACTCATTTTTGCATAAAAAGGTTCCTTATCCTTTTGCAGAATACATTTTGTTTTACTCTTTATACCAAAATTCAGTGAAGGCATTCTACAAGTTTTGACTTAGCATTAAATTTTAATATTTACTATTGCTACATTGCATAATTGAGTTTGAAATAATACCCAGCTCATGACAATGCATTCCGTTTGCAAGAAACTGTTTGGCTTTCAAATTACCAGGCATAGATAATGGACAATAAAAAGTTGCTGTCTAAGGGAAATACAGCCTAAATTGTTTTTGAAAGCCAGAAATGATAACAAAGTTCCGTCATGCCAAAGTGAAATACTTTCTAGTGCCAGCTTTAACTTAAAATCATACTTTTTAAAGGGACACATACAGAAAATTATAGGAAACAGGTATAAACTTTGCTCCATTATTTAATGTAGAAGGTTATAGAATTTTCTCTTTTCATTTGCATTCAACCAAAAATTTCTCATGAAAGACTAATTTCTGTGTAAAGATTAGGGGCCAGGTGTGGTGACTCATGCTGTGGTAATCCCAGCACTCTAGGAGACTGAGGCGGGCAGATCACTTGAACTCAGGAGTTTGAGAACAGCCTGGGCAACATGGCAAAAACCCATCTCTACCAAAAATGCAAAAAATTAGACGGGCATAGTTGTGCATCTGTAATCCCAGCTACTGGAGAGGCTGGGGTGGAAGGATCCTTTGAGCCTGGGAGGCAGAGGTTGCAATGAGCCTAGATCAGCCCACTGCACTTCAGCCTGGGCAATTCCATCTCAAAAAAAAAGTTACTTAAACCTAAGAAAACTATTAAATGGCTCTCAAAATTATTGTATCAATTGAAGATTCATAGTGGTTGAAGAGCACATATGCTCATTTAAGGTGAGGCAACCTTTAGACTTACCCTCACAGCCCAATCTGGTGCTGGATTTTGTCTGGGGGTTATAAATAAGGGTGAATCAGAAGACTTTGTACCTATTTCTGGCACTCCGACCTGATATCATTAGTTCAAATAACTAAAGAAATTAGGTTATTTGGCTGGGTGCCGTGGCTCAGGCCCGTAATCCCAGCACTATGGGATGCCAAGGTGAGAGGATCACGAGGTCAAGAGATCAAGACCATCATGGTCAACATGGTAAAACCCCATTTCTACTAAAAATACAAAAATTAGCACACTTGTAGTCCCAGTTACTTGGGACGCTGAGGTAGTTCAATTGCTTAAACCTGGGAGGCAGAGGCTGCAGTGAACCGAGATTGCACCACTGCACTCCAGCTTGGCGACAGAGTGGGACTCTGTCTCAAATAAAAAAAAGATAAGAAAGAAATTAGGTGGTTTCCAGAACTGAGCTAAGAAGGCCAGAATAAAGTAGTAGCTGTTTTTGAAACAGAAACAGATCAGCTCCTGACTCTGGGGTTAGTGATTAGATCAACAAATATTTTCCTTTCTGCATTTCCTTCCTTTCATTTTCTTGGGCTGTCCTAAAAATTTTTGTGAGGAAAAAAAAACCTGTTAGGATCTTCTTTTTGCCTCACATTTTAGGTCTTATGAAAGACACTGATTATGTAGGAAGCCGAGATGAAAGGGTAATTTGAGCCTAGGAGTTTGAATCCAGCCTGGACAACATAGCAAGACCCTGTATCTTAAAAAAAAAAAAGAAGAAAGTGATTAGGAAACACTAGCTTTTTGTTTTGGTTTTTGTGTAGTAATATAATGAAAGCAATTTTCCTATCAGAGCAAATTACCAGATTTTTTAAATTCCAGTTTTATTCTTCACTTTCTGTAAAACTGAAAGATGTTTTAGTATTTCAGTAACTTCCAAGAAATACTTCAAAACTGAATTTTCAAAATCATTATTAGATAACTAAATCTATTATATATATAGTTTGTGTGACAAAAAAGTATAGAGTTGATGAAAAATACTACATTTTTTCTGGCATATTTGTATCATAATGGTCGAGATTAATAAAGTTCTTTCCCCTCTAAGCTCTATTTCAAGCTTAAATATGTCCTATTTAGTGAGGCTTAGAAAGTTTTGAAATTCTGCCCCCTACACATGTACTCATAATTCCAGTTAATTGCATTCTTGAGAATTACTTTGTATGGCAAACACAACTTAGTGACTATTTTGAAATTTTATTAATGATGAAAGCAAAATTTAATACAGAAGTATATATATATATATATATATATATATATATATAGTCTACATATACACACACACACACACACACACACATATAGGTTGTATTAAAACTAAATGTTTAACTCTCCAATACAAAATATATACATCCATTACAAGAATCACAAAACTTTTATCTATAAGGAAACTTTAAACCCCAGAAGCAAAAAAAAAAAAAAAAAAAAAAATCGCCAATTTACCCCATGAGAATCAAAATTGCAATTAAAGAAAAAACTTTTTTAAAATCAATTTTAGATACAGGCATTCTTTAACCTTAATATTTAAATTTCAAAATTATATAGAATTAATCCAAATCATATAGCAAAGAATTCTGAAAACTGAATGCACAATTGGTCACATGATCTTTAATGACCTGTACACTACCATCCTGCATATTGGTTTCTTTTATGCTGTCAAATCCAGGTATATTGTGAGCTACAGTTTTGTTCAGTAATGAAGATAGGTGATTTCCATCTATTACTTTGTCTTCAGTTATTACTAGCTCGTTTAAGTTATCTTTTTCCTCATGTGAGCAAGTAGCACTTTTTTCTTTTATAAATTCAGATTGCATTTTTGACTCAGGTTGCGGAGCTTTTCCAAGTATCATTTGAGAAACATCAAGAGACTCTTGTTGAAAGCATGTAACTGAACCAAAGCTATCTATTTGTAGTGCTTTAACTGCTACAGATGAATCAGAATCAGTTGTAGAGGTTTTACAGTGTTCTATAGATTCCTTTTCAGTTAGATGACTTTCTTCATTTACTCTTTCTTCCTTTGCTTGTAGCTGATCAGAGTTACTACATTCTTGCAACTGTGTCAAGAGAAACAACAAATTAATAATTCTTTGAAATAATACAAAATTGTAGTAACCGCTGGAAATAAAAATTTTAACAGTTGTGAAGTAATAGCCCTCACAGACCTGCAGGCATACCTCCAGGCCTCTCTGTCAAAGTCATCCTCCGGTGTGGGCATGGTGGCTCACGCCTGTAATCCCAGCACTTTGGGAGGCCACGGTGGGTAGATCACTTGAGGTCAAGAGTTCAAGACCAGCCTGGCCAACATGCTGAAATCCCATCTCTACTAAAAACACAAAAATTAGCCAGGTGTGGTGGTGCACACCTGTAATCCCCTTTACTTGGGAGGCTGAGGCAGGAGAACCACTTGAACCCGAAAGGCAGAGGTTGCACTGGGCCAGTTCTGTGCCACTGCATTCCAGACTGGGTGACAGAGTGAGACCCTGTCAAAAAAAGAAGGAAAGAAAGAAAGAAAAAAAAAAAAGACAAGCAGCATTTGAAGGATGACTTTTCTTTTTGAGACAGTCTCACTCTGTTGCCCAGGCTAGCACAATCTCTGCTCACTGTAACCTCTGCCTCTGAGTTCAAATGATTCTGCCTCTGCCTTCCAAATAGAGAGGATTACAGGAATGTACCACCATGCCCAGCTAATTTTTGTATTTTTAGTAAGAGACAGGGTTTCACCATGTTGCCAAGGCGGGTCTTGAACTCCTGACCTCAGGTGATCCGCCTGCCTCGGCCTCCCAAAGTGCTGGGATTACAGGCGTGAGCTGCCACGCCCAGCCTACCAGCAGTCATATTTTAACATTGTAAGCCTGGCATTAATATCCTGATTATATTCTTTCACAACAGTAATCCACACTTTTCAGCATGGTCTACAAAACTCTTTAACAGTTATTCTTTATTTTCTTTTTTTGAGACAGAGTCTCACTCTGTTGCTCAGGCTGGAGTACAGTGGCGCGATCTCTGCTCACTGCAACCTCCGCCTCCTGGATTCAAGCGATTCTCCTGCCTCAGCCTCCCGAGTAACTGGGACTACAGGTACCCACGACCACACCAGGCTAATTCAATTATTCTTATAAGCACATTGTTGAATTTCTTGAATTTTCTTAAATTCCTCTAATTTTTCAGAGCCGCCCTTCTAATAACATGTCTGTCCATTGTGGTAGTTACTAAATTATTTGCATCTTCAATACTGAAGACTATAAAAATGACCAAAATTAAGGATGAATTAGAAATAATGTACAAATTGTATAACAGTTTCCATGGCTTGAGAGTCAAAAAAGGTTGTGTATGTCCCTGAAGTAGTACTCAAACTTCATAAATGTTAGTTTCTCTTTCTTCCTCATTGTAGGATTATTTTGGGATTAAATGAGATAATGTGAAAATAAATAGCAAAGTGTTCAGCACATTGTAAATACACAGACAAAAGGCTTTGCTTGGCCAGGCGAGGTGGCTCACTTCTGTACTCCTAGCACTTCAGGAGGCCAAAGCAGGTGGATCACGAGGTCAGGAGATCGAGACCATTCTGGCTAACACGGTGAAACCCTATCTCTACTAAAAATACAAAAAATTAGCCAGGCGTGGTGGCACACGCCTGTAGTCGCAGCTATTTGGGTGGCTGAGGCAGGAGAATCCCATGAACCCGGGAGGCAGAAGTTGCAGTTTGCCGAGATCATGCCACTGCACTCCAGCCTGGGCTACAGAGGGAGACTCCCGTTTCAAAAAAAAAGAAAAATAAAAAAATCTTTTGTGGCCATCACTGAAGCAAGAGTGGCCAAAATGAAGATCAATCACTTTTTGACTTCTGACCAAAGCAAGAATCACAAAAGGCATTTCAATGCACCTTCCCACATTCGCAAGTATTATGTCTTCCCCTCTTTCCAAAGAGCTGAGACAGAAGTACACCATGCAATCCATGCCCATCTGAAAGGATGACGAAGTTGTACAAAGACACTATAAAGGTCAGCAAATTGGCAAAGTAGTCCAGGTTTACAGGAAGAAATATGTCATCTACATTGAACAGGTGCAGCAGGAAAAGGCTAATGGCACAACTGTCCACGTAGGCAACCCCAGCAAGCTGGTTACCACCAGGTAACACTGGACAAAGACGGAAAAAAGATCCTTGAACGGTAAGCCAAATCTCACCAATCAGAAAAGGAAAAGGGCAACTACAAGGAAGAAACAATTGAGAAGATGCAGGAATAAAGTAATCTTATATACAAGCTTTGATTAAGACTTGAAACTAAGAGAAAAAAAAAGATTAACATCACTATGCTCAGCCATTACGTACATTTTGTTTAAAGTTATGATACTAAGAAATCAATAATTTGTTAGGCTTTAACTCTATAACTCTGTGCTTAGTTACTCTGCTATAGAGCCCACCAAATTTCTTACCTTTGCATTAATTTGAATCTTCTTATCTGTAACCTGAAGAACTTCAATTAATGGTGGGGTTGAGGACATAGACTGTTTGAATGGAGAGCTCAGGACTTCTTCAAGAAACTCATTAACGTTTTCTTCATTGACAAATAACCTTTCCTAAAATATAAAGGGGAAAAAATATTCTGCCTTATAAGTCATACCTGACACAGTTGTATCTCAAAGCAGCTCAGAAAAATTCTCAACATTGTTCAGACTTACACTTTTTTAAATGTTTATTTTAGTGTTATTCCTGTGAGCTGTCTTGGAAAAATTTAAGTTTGGTATTATACAGAGCAGTAAGAGTTGAACAAACATAAACATATAGGAAAAGAACCTAAAAGAAAGAGGTCTTGGTACTTTTTCTATTAAATCTGACCTTTTAGTATTTCTTTTCTTCTTTTTATTCTTTTTTTTTTTTTTTTTTTTTGAGACATAGTCTCACTCTGTCGCACAAGCTGGAGTGTAGGGCGCAATCTCGGCTTACTGCAACCTCCGCCTCCCAGGTTCAAGCAATTCTCCTGCCTCGGCCTCCTGAGTACCTGGGATTACAGGTGACCGCCACCATATCTGGCTAATTTTTGTATTTTTTGTAGAAGCAGAGTTTTACCATGTTGGCCAGGCTGGTCTTGAACTCCTGACCTCAAGCTATCCACCTGCCTCAGCCTCCCAAAGTGCTGGGATAACAGGCATGAGCTACCGCGTTTGGCCCCTTTTAGTATTCTGTAAGAATAACATTGTCTCAGCTGGGTGCAGTGTCTCATGCCTGTAATCCCAGCACATTGGGAGGCTGAGGCAGGCAGATCACCTGAGGCCAGAAGTTCAAGACTAGCCTGGCCAACATGGTGAAATCCTATCTCTACTAAAAATACAAAAATTAGCTGGGCATGTTAAAAGCCACCTGTTATCCCAGCTAATCAGGAGGCTGAGGCAGGAGAATTGCTTGAACCCAGGAGGCAGAGTTTGCAGTGAGCCTAGATCATGCCATTGCACTCCAGCCTGGGGAATAAGAGCAAGACTTCACCTCCAAAAAGAAAAAAATAAGAAAATAACATCGTCTCTAGGGCTGTAAATGGGATACCAGATACAAAATTTAATTCAGCTTTAGAACATTTTCTAATGAGATGGCTAAGAAATATACATAAAAGGATCTATTCAAATTATGTGTGACCAGTTAGAATTTTAGTTTGTGGCCAGGTAAGAGCCAATTACAGTGTTTTATTTTTAAAAAATGGTGTTTTATTTGTTTCCTTGTTTTGTTTCTGAGACAGAGTCTTGCTGTGTCACCCAGGCTGGAGTGCAGTGACATAATCACGGCTCACTGTAGCCTGGACCTCCCAGGTTCAAGTGATCCTCCCGCCTCAGCCTCCAGAGTGGCTGGGACCACGGGGCCATGCCGCCACTCTTGGCTAATTTTTGTATTTTTTGTAGAGACAGAGTTTTGCCATGTAGCCCAGGCTGGCCTCAAACTTCTGGACTCAAGTGATCCACCTGCCTTGGCCTCCTAAAGTGCTAGGATTGCAGGTGTGAGCCACCACCACACTCAACCCTTTTGCTGTTTGTTTCTGAGACAGGGTCTCACTTTGTTGCCCAGGCTGGAATGCAGTGACACAATCACAGCTCACTGCAGCCTTGACCTCCCTGGCTCAAGCAATCTTCCCACTTGTGCCCCCAAATACTGGGTACCTGGGACTACAGGCACATGCCACAATGCCCAGCTAATTTTTACATTTTTTGGGCCAGGTGTGGTGGCTCATGCCTGTTAAGTCCAGCACTTTGGGAGGCCGAGGCAGGTGGATTGCCTGAGGTCAGGAATTCGAGACTAGCCTGGCCGACATAGTGAAACCGTCTCTACTAAAAATGCAAAAATTAGCTGGGCATGGTAGTGTGTGCTTGTAATTCCAACTACTCGGGAGGCTGAGACAGGAAAATTGCTTGAACCCATGAAGCAGAGGTTGCAGTGGGCCGATACTACACCACTGCACTCCAACCTGGGTGACAGTGAGATTCTGTCTCAAAAATAATAATTTTTTTTTTTTTTTACATTTTTTGTAGAGACAGGTCTCATTTGGTTGCCCAGGCTGGTCTCCAACTCCTGGATTCAAGCTGTCCTCCCACCTTGGCCTCCCAAAGTGCTGGGATTATAGGCATAAGCCAAGATTATAGGTACCCAGCCAAGAAGTGTATTATATTTTTAAGCACTGGGAAACTCTAGTGTGACATTAGCAAACTGTATAATTATTAATAAGAATGAAGTAAAGAGCATATATTCAGGGCAACTTGAATCTGTGCTCCAGGGAAAAGGTAAATTATAAAAAACATTAGGCTGGGCACAGTGGCTCATGCCTGTAATTCCAGCACTTTAGGAGGCTAAGGCAGGCAGATTGTTTGAGCCCAGAAGTTCGAGACCAGCCTGGCCAACATGGCAAAACCCCCTACAAAAAATACAAAATTTAGCTGGGAGTGGTGGCATGCACCTATGGTCCTAGCTACTCCAGAAGCTGAGGTGGGAGGATCACTTGAGCCTGAAAGGCTAAGGCTGCAGCGAACATTGATCGCACCACTGCACTCCAGCCTGGGTGAGACAGAGCAAGACCCTGTCTCCAGAAAAAAAAATTTAAAAAGGATGCAGATTTCAAGATGCTGACATGAAAAGATTTCCAAACTATTACTAGGAAATGCAAAAATCACTGTTTTACCTGAATCCCAAACACAAAGCAATTTGTTCATGTCAAGTGAATATAGGTATATAGTTAGGGTGTGGGGGAATAACCATATTAACCATATTTAAAATTAATTTATAAAAGCAGTTCATTTTTGCCCCAAATAAACTATTTTCCTTGGTTCTTTTATTTCAGCAATTTTTTTCTTCTTTTTTTTTTTTTTTTTTTTTTTTTGAGACGGAGTCTTGCTCTTTTTTTTTTTCTTCCCCCTGGCTTTTTTCCTTCATAGTGGCATGATCTCTACTCACTGCAGCCTCTGCCTCCCGGGTTCAAGCTATTCTCCTGCCTTAGCTTACCAAGTAGCTGGAATTACAGGTGCCCACCACCATGCCCATCTAATTTTTGTATTTTTAGTAGAGACAGGATTTTACCATGTTGGCCAGGCTGGTCTTGAACTCCTGACCTTGTGATCTACCCACCTCGGCCTCCCAAAGTGCTGGGATTACGCCTGGCCCAATGTCAGCAAATTTTATAATTACAAAATAAATGCAGCTCATTATTTGGTCTAAATAGGTGGAAAATATCAGAAAGAAACAAGTTTCAAGTTCTCTTTTATTGAGAACATATATTCAGGGCAACTTGAATATGTGTCTCCCGGGTTGCAGTCCTCTGTTTTGGCCCAAATAAATTCTCTACATATATATTTATATCTCTTCCATTAAATAGTATTAAAATTGTGAACACCTACCAAACAAAAGTCAACCTTGGGAATAGCAAAATATTACATTTAGAGTAATTGGCCTTGATATTATTTGAAGATCCAGAATAACACTCTGTTACAGAAGCATCCCCATCAAAAGCATTTCTAACATGCATGCCTCTGGAAAAAGACATCATCTTTGAATCATTACAAATAATATACCAAATATTTTTTAGTTAATTCAAGGAAGATATAATGGAAATGGTTGATTAAAATACAGAAGATTTGCATAAACTTGCCTTCTCATTCTAGTGACTGATGAAATGACTAATGAACTAGAAAAGTTACTGATCTCAGAGGCCTGAAGCTCTAGGAAAATTGTCAGTGAACACTGAAAACTTCAATACATATATTTAGTATTTATTTGTTAAGTACCTTGAAAGCCACAAAATGCACAATGCATATAATATTATTACATTTGTTCCACTCCTCATGATTTTTTTCAAAAATTTAACACTTAGAGCCTGGTCCAGTACAAAGTAAAGCAAAAGAGTTAGATGCTGGCCAAATGCAGTGGCTCACACCTGTAATCCCAACACTTTGGGAGGCCAGGGTTGGCTGATCATGAGGTCAGGAGTTTGAGACCAGCCTGACGAAACATGGTGAAACCCCGTCTCTACTAAAAATACAGAAATTAGCTGGTGTACTGGCATGTGCCTGTAATCCCAGCTATTCAGGAGGCTGCCTCTTGAACCCAGAAGGCGGGGGTTGAGTTGAGATCCCACGACTGCACTCCAGCCTGGGCAACAGAGCAAGACTCCATCTCCAGAAAAAAAAAAGTTAGATGCTATTGTTCCATCAGCCTTAGCAAATGTGATAATTAGTGAAGTAATTAAAAATCTGTTTTGGGCTTCAAAGATATAAAATACAGTTGCCCTAATCCCATTTTCATCGAGTTTATTTACTAAAATGTTAGCATACTTGAAAATCAGATTAAAATGTATTATTGAATATTCTTTTAATTGCTTGTCTACAAAGTTTTCTTCCCACACTGTAGGTTATTTTCATAATTACTAAAACAATTACAGGAAAACAACTCCCTTTCCTAAATTTCCCACTTCTGATGACATAAACAGATAGTTTCATATTTTATATTCTAACAAACTACCTTAGCCAGTCCAGCTATTTATTTTACCACTTTTGGAGGGTTTTCAATTAACCACTTCTCATATAGATACCTAACTCATAAATTACACATGTAACTTCTTAGCAAATTTTTAGAAAAACAACAGGAAAAAGTAAAATTTTCTAGTTTTGCTCATTACCCAAGCTGCAGTGCGGTGGGAGGATTTCCGCTTACTGCACCCTCCACCTCCTGGGTTCAAGTGATTTTCCTACCTTAGCCTCCCAACTCGCTGGGATTACAGGCAAGGGCAACCCTGCCTGGCTAATTTTTGTATTTTTAATAGTGACTTTCCCCATGTTTGTCAGGCTGGTCTTGAAGTCCTGACCTCAGGTGATCTACCTGCCTTGGCCTCCCAAGGTGGCTCAGGCTTGTAATCCCAGGACTTTGGGAAGCCGAGGCGGGTGGATCACCTAAGGTCAGGAGTTCAACTCCGGCCTAGCCTAGCCAACATGGCGAAACCCCATCTCTACTAATAGAAAAAGTAGCCAGGCATGTTGGCACGCGCTTGTAATCCCAGCTACTCAGGAGGCCGAGGCAGGAGAATCCTTTGAACCCATGAAGCAGAGGCTGCAGTGAGCCAAGACAGCACCGTGGCACTCCAGCCTGGGTGACAAGAGCAAAACTCCATCTAAAAAAAATAAAATTTAAAAAAATCTTCCCAGAAGAGGTGCAGCTAACATAGGTACTATTAGGTTCAACAAATATTTATCACAACTGTTAAATGCTAGTCATTGTGCTAAATACCAGTAGGGACCTTAACATGATTAAAACAGATGCAAAGTGACATACTCTCAATTTAGAATAGCGCCAACGGGAGGACAATCCTGCCAGAATCTTAGACTAAAATTAAGCAGCACCATATGGCCCAAAAGGCATTTGGACATAACTGTGTAACTGGAAAAGTAACGCTGAGTTACTTTTCCTCTTTGGAAGTAAATTATTATTATTCTCTGTTTTCTAAGCTCGGAAAAAATGGTTTACCAACTTCAAAGTTGCCCATTATAGAGTGCTTTTTAAACTTACTTGTGTTACAAACCCCTTTTGAGACTATAACTAAAATTATAGCCCTTCTCCCTGGAAGTGATCACTCTCTACTTTTTGCATACAATTCCAGAGATCTACCGCTCCCTAAAAATTCATTCATGGGCTCCTTCATATTCAATGCATCTCAGAAAAACAACTGCATTCGGGGTAACTTTGAAGATTTGAAACTCATCTACCAGACACGATGCCTGTTTCTTTTTTTTTTTTCCTTCAAAATACGTCCAACATGCACTGACATCTTTCATCATGTGCATCAATATCAAGTCATTACAAGAAAAGTTATAATGGAAAATGCTTTGTTAACTGAAAGGGTGCCTGTAATAGCATTTTTTTTTTTTTTTTTTTTTTTTTTTTTTTACTACAACCTCTGCCTTCTGGGGTCAAGCGGTTCTTCTGCCTCAGCCTCCCGAGTAGCTGCGACTACAGGCGCGCGCACCACGCCCGGTTAATTTTTGTATTTTTAGTAGAGACGGGATTTCATCATATTGGCCAGCCTGGTCTAGAACTCCTGACCTCATGATCCACCCGCCTCAGCCTCCCAAAGTGTTAGGATTACAGGCGTAAGCCATCGCGTCTGGTCAGTAACAGAAAATTTTTAAAGTAAGATGGGATACTTCAAATATTAGGACTCTGGAAAGAACTGTTACCTCCAAAGAATCGTTGTTTACACCATAATACCACTCTCTCCAATGTCCACGGCTCTCTGGAGATTTTGCCAGTTCTATCACCGCATTGTTTGAAGAAACGCTAATCACAGGTTCTATGGTACTCAATTTATTCTCTGGAGCAAATTGCAGAAAGAAGGAATAAACTAAATCTTGTGTGGAGAAGCGTAATTTGTACCAGAGGGGACTCAGATCTCCTTGAAGACTTTGCGGCTGGATCCGAGGCACTTGAATGACCAGAGTCAGGGTTTCTTCGTCCTGATTACACAGTAACGGAGGACACAAAGGTTCCCGGCCCTCGGTTCCAGGACCACCCATGGCGCGGGCGGAGCTCTCACCTCCCGTTCCCTCCGACTCCACGCGCGTCTCCACACTGCAATCTCCGCGCGCGCTCTCTCTTGCCGCAGAAGACTCCCAGGCTTGGCCCGGAAAGGACAGACAAGGGGAGCCGCCACCACCAGGTGAGCTCTCTCCTCCGGGAGATGGCTTCTCTCCGCTGCCCGGCGGCGACCCCGCGTGCCAGCTCAAGTCCTGCTCCCCCAGCTCGGGGACATGCTCTTCTCCAGCGCGGGCCAGCTGGGGCGCCACCTCGGGGTCTCCCGGGGTGGTGACCCCAGAGCCCGCAGTCACAGCCACGCAGGTATTGCGGCCTCGGTCCTCGGCGCGACCTCTCGCGGGTCCCGCCTCTCCCTCGCGAGCGGAAGCGCAGGCCTGGCCGTCAGTTCCGGACAGACCCGCGGACTCTTCCGGCGCGGCTGCGGCGGTGACTGTGGGCTCCCGGCGCGCGGCCGGTAGCACCACTGGCAGCGTCACCACCAGCTGCCGCCGGGCCCTGTTAAACTGTGCCTTGCCGCGACCGTCGTCCACTGGGTACGGGAGCGAGAGCCGCAGCCGGTAGTCGGGTTTCCTCGAGTCGAGGCACAGCAGCTTTCCCGTCACCTCCAGCGCCGCCTGCTCGGCTGAGCGCAACAACGGCAGTTCGATCGTGACCACCAGCTCGTGAGGCACTGGGCTCGGGACTGAGTCCCGGGAGCAGCGGTAATCCTGGAGGTCCACGTGGTGGCGCTGCACCACGCTGTAGCGAGGCTCGGTGGGCGCGGGCTGCAAGGTCGCTTCCGGAGGGGAGGGCGCCCGGGGCCCGGGGGCTGCAGAGTTTACGGCGGCTGCCGGGTACGGGTAGGGGTAGGGGAAGTCCGGGAGAGGACCCTTCGGCTCCCCTTCGGGCCTGGCCGGGATGCCCCCGGGCAGGGGCGTGCGCAACACCGCAGCCTCCCGGGTCCCCTTATATTTGGCCTTCAGGGTCTTGGCATTCCTGCGGTCTAGCTTCACGCCGAACTGCTTCTCGACTGCCTCCAGGGCCGTGGTATCCAGCATCTGACGGAAGCCCTCGTGTCGACGGGCCAGTGCGAGCGCATCCGGATGGAAGACCACGTCGTAGACCATGTAGCGGGTTCTGTTGCGCCCCGCGTACTCGCGGCCGGGCGCCAGGCTGTAGGGCAGGGACCAGTGGCTGCCAGGCGCTGCGCCCTGGTCGCCCATGGTGCCGGGCCGGCTACTGGGTGCGCCCACCAGCGCGTTGCTGCAGACGTTCACGAAGCAGCGCCGCGCTCCGTCCAGGCTGGTGCGCAGCACATAGCCCGGCTCTGGGTGCACGAACCGCACCTCCACCCCTCGCTCACGCTCCAGCATGGTGATCTCCGCCTCGTAACGTCGCCGGTTCTCGGGGTCGGTGAGTTCCTCGGCGTACTGGGAGAACATTCGCCGGAACTCCGGGTCCTGGAAGGCGGAGGTGAGCCGCTGGACCTCCTCTCCGCTCAGGTCCAAGTCCTCCAGTGAGGAGGAGGCTGCCGCTTTGGCCATACTGCCCTGTGGCTCCTAGTCCTTGGGCCAAGGGGGATCAGTCTGAAACTGGGTTGGGGGATGCACCTCACAATCTCTGGGCAGCGGAGAGTGTCGGTAACGGCTGGAAAATTGAGCCTTGATCAGCGCGTGCTTGTTGCCATAGTGACACCACTAACATTCGGGAGGAGGGGTAGAAATCATAGTGGAAATGCCAGAAATAGCCTCTTAGTTTCTTCAAACCAACCCACCACCGTGCTTTCTCTGTTTTATATTCCTGTGCTATGGTACAGTTACTTCTGCAGAATAACTATTGTAGTAACTGTCATAATTTCCAGCAGCATGTACGTTATCCCATTCATTTGTTCACACCACTTGAAGATAAACCTCATCCCCATTTCACAAACAAAAAGATGGGATCTGAGAAGCTGGACGAAGGTCACATAGCCAGTGTATCAACAGTCTAATTCAAACCTGTTTGGCTGCTTTTCTTCACTTTGCTAAACTAACATTTCAATCTTTTTCTTTCTTTTTTTTTTTGTCTGAGATGGGGGTCTTGCTCTGTCTCCCAGGCTAGAGTGCAATGGCGTTATCTCGGCTCACTGCAACCTCCGCCTCCCAGGTTCAGGTGATTGTCCTGCCTCAGCCTGCCGAGTAGCTGGGATTACAGGCGCCCACCACCACACTCGGCTAATTTTTGTATTTTTAGTAAAAGCAGGGTTCCACCATGTTGGCCAGGCTGGTCTTGAACCCCTGACCTCAAGTGATCCGCCCACCTCGGCCTCCCAAAACGCTGGGATTACAGGTGTGAGCTATGGCGCCTGGCCGACATTTCAGTCCTAGTGTTCCTCCTTTGCATTTTCTGGCGATTGTATTATAATATTTACCCAGTAAAAACTCATTTGGGGCAAGACATATGGGCAGGCTATTCATAAATAATTACCAGTGGCTCATGGACTTATAAAACTTTAACTTCATTAATAATAAAATGCAAATATACCACATGTAAACTACCAAAATAGTGAAGATTCTTACAACTACTGTATTTCCTTAGGGTTGGAACAGACTTTAGTAAGATCATTCTAGAGAGCAGTTTTGCAATTGTATCAATACCATTTAATTATTTACATATGTATGTATGTATTTTTGAAACAGGTTCTCACTCTTGCCCACGCTGGAGTGCAGCTTCAACCTCCTGGGCTCAAGCAGTCCTCCTGCCTCAGCCTCCCAAGTAACTGGGACTACAGGTATGTGCCACCATGCCTGGCTAATTTTTTTAAGTTTTTGTAGAGATGGGGGTTTTATTATGTTACCTATGCTGGTCTCCAACTGCTGGACTCATGTGATCATCCCGCCTCGGCCTCCCAGAGTGGTGAGATTACAGGATTACAGGCTTGAGCCTCCACACCAGTTCCAAAGCATTTTTTTTTTCCTTGAGGCCGAGTCTCGCTCTATTGCCCAGGCTGGAGTGCAGTGGTGCAATCTCAGCTCACTGCCAACCTCTGCCTCCTGGGTTCAAGCATTTCTCCCTGCCTGATCCTCCCAACTGGCTGGTATTATAGTCACCTGCCACCATGTCCGGCTAATTTTTGTATTTTCAGGAGAGATGGGGTTTCACCACGTTGGCCAGGCTGGTCTACTGCTCCTGACCTCAGGTGATCCGCCCACCTCAGTCTCCCAAAGTTCTATAATTACAGGCAAGAGCCACTGTGCCCGGCCTTGGTTACAACTATTTTCTCATTTGCCATATGCTTTCTCATTTTCTGGTGTTTAAAAATCACCGGGACCGAGGTAGGGGGATCACGAAGTCAAGAGATCAAGACCATCCTGGCTAACACAATACTCTTAGAACATTCTTAAGGTAACATCATTTATGATTCTAAAGAATTGAGAACAATCTACAAATTCAACAATGGAACTGATTGAGCAGGTTTTGGTAGAGGCACACCACAGCATTTTGTGCAACCATTCAAAATGATCTTAGGGAATTATATTCATTTACTGGAATCGTTATTTATTAATCGGTAATTGGTCAATTCAGTGATCATTTTTCTGTTCTCAACAACATTTAACACAGTTGATGTTGGCATTACCTCAGTGACAAGACACTTTCCAGATTTCTTTTTTTTTTTTTTTTTGAGACGGAGTTTCGCTCTTGTTACCCAGGCTGGAGTGCAATGGCGTGATCTCGGCTCAATGCAACCTCCGCCTCCTGGGTTCAGGCAATTCTCCTGCCTCAGCCTCCTGAGTAGCTCGGATTACAGGCACGAGCCACCATGCCGAGCTAATTTTTTGTATTTTTAGTAGAGACGGGGTTTCACCATGTTGACCAGGATGGTCTCGATCTCTCAACCTCGTGATCCACCCGCCTCGGCCTCCCAAAGTGCTGGGATTACAGGCTTGAGCCACCGCGCCCGGCCACTTTCCAGATTTCTATATCATCAGTCACTCTCATAGGTTTGCTCTGCAGTTTACTTCTTTTCAGCTTCAACGTGGAAATGCCCCAAAACTGGGACCTAATCTCTTCACATCTATACTCTCTTTCAGAAATATGTTTACAGTCACATTCAGGTTTTAAACTACTATATCTTGGAATGGAGCAGTTCCCACAAAAAATAAAAAACTCCTATATCCAGCTGTACATTTGAGGTGCGCATTTGAATCATTAATGCATAAGCCACTCAAGCTTGAAATGACCAAGATCAGAATTCCTGACTCTTCTTTTCCCAAACCACTGCCTCATCTTACAGTCTCTTGGAAGCATTCAAAGCAGTTGACTGCCCCCTCGAAACACATTTTTCTCATATTTTGCAGAACTCCAAGCTCTCCCATTTTCCTCCTCCTTTATGCTCCTGCCAGTTCTGCAAATGTGGGAGTCACCCAAGGCTTTGTTCATCAGCCCTCTTACCTAATCACATTTCTTCCAAGATGTCTATCCAAGCCCATCATTTTAAATGCCATCTGTGTTCAAATTAGTCCTTTCAACAGATGTTTATTGTGTGTATTGCACTTATATGAGTAATTAACAAGGATGTCAGCAGTTGGCATTTTTCTTTTTTTTTTTTTTTTTTGAGACAGAGTCTTTGTTGCCCAGGCTGGACTGCAGTGGCACGATCTCGACTCACTGCAACCTCCATCTCCTGGGTTCAAGCTTTTCTCCTGCTTCAGCCTCCCGAGTAACTGGGATTATAGGTGCCCACCACCATGCTCAGCTCATTTTTGTATTTTTTAGTAGAGACAGGGTTTCACCATGTTGGTCAGGCTGGTCTCAAACTCCTGACCTCAGGTGATCCACCTACCTCAGCCTCCGCACAGTGCTGGTATTATAGGCATGAGCCACCACTCCTGGCTGGGTTTTTTTTTTTAAAACCATGGTTTATATTGGGTATTTTCTTGTTTTAGGGTATGGCTCTCCCATTTGAAAAGGTAAATAAACATCATGAAATCTAGGACCTTGCCTTTCTGGTTTACCACTGGATACTCTGATGCCTAGAACATTATTGAGCAGGCAGATGAATTAACATAGTAAAGAAAAAAGCAAGTTTAGTATGTATAGTATGATCCCAAAATATTTCTATAGGGAAAAGTTTATGCATAGGGAAAAATCTGGAAGCATATTTACCAAAATATTAACAATATTTCTGATAGTAGAATTGCACATCATTAAAACTTTTTTTTGTGTTTGCTTATATTTTACAATTTTTTTTTTTTTTTTTTTAAGAGACAGGGTTTCACCATATTGGTCAGGCTGGTCTCCAACTCCAAACCTCAGGTGATCCACCTGCCTCAGCCTCCCAAAGTGCTGGGATTACAGGCGTGAGCTGCTGCGCCCAGCCATATTTTATGATTTTCTATGAACTTGTTTAGTAAAAAGGTTAGAACACCCTACACTTAAGTTTTAAAGCTTTGCATCTAAAATAACTTTGAGACATAAAGATGAGTTCCAGAAGGTTTAAAGCACCTGAGGGATATGTAAACTTGCACTTTTTCTATTATAACCCTGAAGTCAATGAGCATAACCAAGGATTAGTTGTCAACTTATTTTCATTCACCTTTGTAACGCCAAAATTCTGGACGTTTGACCTTAAAAAAGGCATTTCCAACATGAACACACCATACTTCTCAAAAGAAAACAAACTACAACTGGTTGTTTAGAAGTGCTAATGGCCTTTAAAGTTACTGAACCCTCTGAAATTATGTGTAGGGGCAGACTCGTGGGGTTGGGGGACGTGGTTCTCAGTAGAGGCCCATAGGGCCCGTAGCTTTCATTAGATTCTCTGAGGGTTCCTGCCCTCTGTTTTGCCAAATTTCTTACTATGTGATGTTCTCTTTCCCAGAAGAATCTCTATGGGAAAAGACAGTGTGGAGTTGTGGAAGAGCCCACTTGCCCAAAACAAATGTTCTCTTACCTAAAATTCATCCACTGAGGAAACCTATCCTTAAAAAAAATTAATGGGCCAGGTACAGTGGCTCACGCCTGTAATCCCAGCACTTTGGGAGGCCGAGGCGGGTGGATCACCTGAGGTCAGGAGTTTGAGACCAGCCTGGCCAACGTGGTGAAAACCTGTCTCTACTAAAAATATAAAAATCAGCCGGGCATGGCAGCTGGGCACCTGTAATCCCCGCTACTCAGGAGACTGAGGCAGGAGAATTGCTGGAACCCAGGAGGTGGAGGTTGCAGTGAGCCTAGATTGTGCCATTGCACTCCAGCCTGGTCAGCAAGAGCAAAACTCCGTCTTAAAAAAAAAAACATGACTTTTGGAGGGAGAAGGTCCTAAGTATTAGATCCATTCTCAGTTATTAACCACTCTGTGCAAACAGTCTTATCCAATCCTTCCACAAATCCTGCATTTGCTCTCTTTAGATACCATTTGCTCTCTTTATTGGGAAGTGGAGGTCCAGAGATGGCTGAGACCTACTGACTTAAGTGAAACATTGTGATAGTACATGCCGTATCCTAATACGTAACAGCTTCATGAAACAAAACTTAATGCACTGGAATTTTCTATTCTGCTGAGACTCATTAATATTTCAACTCACTGATCAGTTTGACCTTCAGTTTGAAACACTGCTGTAGATAAATGATCTTATATAGCTCCAGTAGCATGTTCAGTAAGGAAATAGAGGAAGGTAAGACAATACCATGCTGGT